CGTAATCGTCGGGAATACCATACGGCAGTGCACAATTGGCCCAGTGTTTTCCGGGTTGGGGAGGGTTTGGACGGAGGGGCTTTACAAGTAGGCCGTTATTGTAAATAAGAATTTGTTCCTAACTGACTTGCCTAGTTAAATAAATAAAAATAACTCAAACGTACTACAACTATCACTACAGATGTAGGATCTTAATTTGGTTACCCTGTTGCAGGAGAACTTTCCTACAATGCAGGACATTAAAAACTTGTAGTGTTGAAGTTTGTAATTTCCACTTTGAAATGTCAGACTTGACTGTACAAAACCTTAAGAACACCTGCTCTTTCCATGACATAGACTCACCAGGTGAATGCAGGTGAAAGCTATGATCCCTTACTGATGTCACTTGTTAAATCCACTTCAGGTTAAAGAAGGATTTTTAAGCCTTGAGACAATTGAGACATGGATTGTGTATGTGTGCCATTCAGAGGGTCAATGGGCAAGACAAAAGATTTAAGTGCCTTTGAACAGGGCATGGTAGTAGGTGCCAGGCGCACCGATTTTGTCAAGAACTTCAACGCTGCTGGGTTTTTCACGCTCAACAGTTTCCCATGTGTATCAAGAATGGTCCACCACCCAAAGGACATCCAGCCAACTTGACACAACTGTGGGAAGCATTGGAGTCAACATGGGCCAGCATCCCTGTGGAACTCTTTCGACACCTTGTGGAGTCCATGCCCTGACAAATTGAGGCTGTTCTATGCTTAGAATTCCATGGCATTATTTTATAGTATGAAGAAAACAATTGAACAAAGCTGAATAAAATAGAAAGGATATTTACTCCAAACGATTTATAAATTTTAAGGCTGCATGATGCGACTCTAATGATGATTTGAAAAAAGTTGCATGAAAGGCATGAGCTCTGCTTAGTTCTTTGTGCAGGCTGTACACACTTCATTAGTCTCTCATTCACAATTTGACAAGCACTTGATAATGCCTCAAATTAACCCAGCGGCATCCCCTTTATGTTGTCATAAATGGCCGTTGTGCCCTTGGGCTGTGAATATAATAATTTTAATTCCCTTCTCCCTGCGTTCTGCGTGCTCCGAAGCACCTCTCACTCACGTGGCTCTCCGTCACGTGATTGGGTCTTTCTCACAGGCTACAAGTGAAGACAGACCCATTGGGGATGCATATTGAAGATATTGGAAGAACTGTCCACATGTACTTTTCGTCAGCCAACAAGATGAGTAGGCCTAACGAACAGCACTAGCCTATGTCAATCTACTATCCCCCATGGTACAAAAGTTGACCTATTATTTCTGTGCAATAAATAAATATTCCAAAGATAGTCTGGGACAGTTGTGGGATGCGATAGATCCCAAATTAATACAACCACTAGCATCAAAACCTTTTTTATGCAATGAGGCTGACACAACTTATCAGAACGTTTAGCTTAAAATATTGATAAACTATTAGGCTATTTCTTCACATTATAAGCACAGCAATGCGCACATGGCAGCAGGCTATAAGCACGAATGTCCATTAGCAGGAAAACACCAGTATCAAAAGTGACCACAAATACGATTATGCATGTAATGCTTTTACCATAAAGGTGCATTTTTATGGTGAAAATTATCTTCTCCAAACTTGAAACTCACGCACTGTGTATGTATGCCAGTTAGGCTCTGCACCCATTGTAAAGCGGATTAATGTGCTTCATTTTAAGAAGTTATTTGGCCACATTAGTTGTGACTCATCCCAAACCATCTCAATTTGGTTGAGGTCGGGGGATTGTGGAGGCCATGTCCTCTGATGCAGCACTCCATCACTCTCCTTCTTGGTAAAATAGCCCTTACACAGCCTGGAGGTGTGTTGGGTCATTGTCCTGTTGAATAACAAATAATAGTCCCACCAAGTGCAAACCAGATGGGATGGCGTATCGCTGCAGAATGCTGTGGTAGCCATGCTGGTTAAGTGTGCCTTGAATTCTAAATAAATCACAGACAGTGTCACCAGCAAAGAACCCTCACACCATAACACCTCCTCCTCCATGCTTTACGGTGGGAAATAAACATGCGGAGATCATCCGTTCACCCACACCGCGTATCACAAAGCCACGGCGGTTGGAACCAAAAATCTAAAGGACAAATTTGAAGGCCTGATGAAGGCCTGATTCACACAGTCTCCTCTGAACAGTTGATGTTGAGATGTGTCTGTTACTTGAACTGTGTGAAGCATTTATTTGGGCTGCAATTTCTGAGGCTGGTAACTCTAATGAACTTATCCTCTGCAGCAGAGGTAACTCTGGGTCTTCCATTCCTGTGGCAGTCATCATGAGAGTGCAACTGCACTTGAAGAAACTTTTAAAGTTCTTGAAATGTTCCCTATTAACTGACCTTCATGTCTTAAAGTAGTGATGGACTGTTGTTTCTCTTAGCTTATTTGAGCTGTTCTTGCCATAATATGGACTTGGTCTTTTACCAAATAGGGCTATCTTCTGTATACCCACCTACCTTGTCACAACTCAACTGAGTGGCTCAAACGCATTAAGATATAAAGAAATTCCATAAATTAACTTTTAACAAGGCACACCTGTTAATTTAAATGCATTCCAGGTGACTACCTCATGAAGCTGGTTGAGAGAATGCCAAGAGTGTGCAAAGCTCTCATCAAGGCAAAGGGTGGCTATTTGAAGAATCTGAAATCGCGAATATATTTTTATTTGTTTAACATTTTTTGGGTTACTACATGATTCCATAGTTTTGATGTCTTTACTATTATTCTACAATGTAAAAAATAGTAAAAATAAAGAAAAATCCTTGAAAGAGTAGGTGTGTCCAAACTTTTGACTGTTAGTGTATATACAGTGGGGGGAAAAAGTATTTAGTCAGCCAACAATTGTGCAAGTACTCCCACTTAAAAAGATGAGAGAGGCCTGTAATTTTCATCATAGGTACACGTCAACTATGACAGACAAAATGAGAAAACAAAATCCAGAAAATCACATTGTAGGATTTTTAATGAATTTATTTGCAAATTATGGTGGAAAATAAGTATTTGGTCAATAACAAAAGTTTCTCAATACTTTGTTATATACCCTTTGTTGGCAATGACACAGGTCAAACGTTTTCTGTAAGTCTTCACAAGGTTTTCACACACTGTTGCTGGTATTTTGGCCCATTCCTCCATGCAGATCTCCTCTAGAGCAGTGATGTTTTGGGGCTGTCGCTGGGCAACACGGACTTTCAACTCCCTCCAAAGATTTTCTATGGGGTTGAGATCTGGAGACTGGCTAGGCCACTCCAGGACCTTGAAATGCTTCTTACGAAGCCACTCCTTCGTTACCCGGGCGGTGTGTTTGGGATCATTGTCATGCTGAAAGACCCAGCCACGTTTCATCTTCAATGCCCTTGCTGATGGAAGGAGGTTTTCACTCAAAATCTCACGATATATGGCCCCATTCATTCTTTCCTTTACACGGATCAGTCGTCCTGGTCCCTTTGCAGAAAAACAGCCCCAAAGCATGATGTTTCCACCCCCATGCTTCACAGTAGGTATGGTGTTCTTTGGATGCAACTCTGCATTCTTTGTCCTCCAAACACGACGAGTTGAGTTTTTACCAAAAAGTTCTATTTTGGTTTCATCTGACCATATGACATTCTCCCAATCCTCTTCTGGATCATCCAAATGCACTCTAGCAAACATCAGACGGGCCTGGACATGTACTGGCTTAAACAGGGGGACACGTCTGGCACTGCAGGATTTGAGTCCCTGGCGGCGTAGTGTGTTACTGATGGTAGGCTTTGTTACTTTGGTCCCAGCTCTCTGCAGGTCATTCACTAGGTCCCCCCGTGTGGTTCTGGGATTTTTGCTCACCGTTCTTGTGATCTTTTTGACCCCACGGGGTGAGATCTTGCGTGGAGCCCCAGATCGAGGGAGATTATCAGTGGTCTTGTATGTCTTCCATTTCCTAATAATTGCTCCCACAGTTGATTTCTTCAAACCAAGCTGCTTACCTATTGCAGATTCAGTCTTCCCAGCCTGGTGCAGGTCTACAATTTTGTTTCTGGTGTCCTTTGACAGCTCTTTGGTCTTGGCCATAGTGGAGTTTGGAGTGTGACTGTTTGAGGTTGTGGACAGGTGTCTTTTATACTGATAACAAGTTCAAACAGGTGCCATTAATACAGGTAACGAGTGGAGGAGACAGAGGAGCCTCTTAAAGAAGAAGTTACAGGTCTGTGAGAGCCAGAAACCTTGCTTGTTTGTAGGTGACCAAATACTTATTTTCCACCATAATTTGCAAATAAATTCATTAAAAATCCTACAATGTGATTTTCTGGATTATTCTTTCTCAATTTGTCTGTCATAGTTGACGTGTACCTATGATGAAAATTACAGGCCTCTCTCATCTTTTTAAGTGGGAGAACTTGCACAATTGGTGGCTGACTAAATACTTTTTTTCCCCACTGTATATATATATATATTTATTTTTTTGTGGTCGGGGAGCCTCCTAGCGGTCAGGGGCCCTAAGCGACCGCTTATGTCACTTATGCCTGGAGACGTCCCTGATGCCCTCTCATGGTAAACTCCATTACTGAGGTGTGGCATTAAACCAATTCAGTGGCAGTTCCAGGGCAGTGTCTCAATTCATACTAAATTGGCACATGAGCTGGACACAAAAGAACCACTGTTGAAAAACTGGTGAGATCCACTCACTGCTGTCAGTAAACAAAGAGTTTACATTCTGCATGATACTTTTAGAAGCCCTATAAAACATAATCACTCCCACAGTAATGAACAGGTTTCCACAGGATGAATGTGAACTCGGGTCCTCAGGTTCAGTAGCCCTTGGCTGCTCAACAGAAGCCAGCGCTAAACTCACGGCCCCTACAGCTCTCCAGGCCATAATTGAAACCTTATGTGGATCAGGTGGAATTCTGGGGCTTTTTGGCATCACACCAAAGAATCCCAGAGTGTGTTATTTTGATTTCATTTTTTTCCATTTCTCTTTCCTCTAGCGAGAGAGCTTGCTTTTACGTCAGCCCTTTTCCTCCTCCTTTCCCAGTAAGTCTATCCCGGGAAGAAAGTATATTACAGCGTTCCCAGATCTGGAATTGTATCCAGTTGATTACGGAATAATATTCCCCTGGACTACTAATGATTTTGGGAAGGCAGTGAAAAGTAAGTGTAGTCATTATTCTCTCTTCTATGACTCTTTTATAGACTGTCACTTGGCATTGTGTTCTGACACTGCTAGTAGCCACGTTTCAGTGACAGCTATGGGTAGATTTGTCATCAATGAAATTGAAAGCTGAGAAAAGTTGAACTGGTACCTTCCAACTTGATTGACATGTAAATATAAATAAGTTATTTAACAGAAATCAGTTATTTTCCATTAGATAATAGTTCACTATTTTATATTTATTTTATTTGTTTGAGGAAAAGGTGGAATTCCATTCTCTTCTAATGATTTACTTTATTTTATTGTATTTATGTTCATTTTAATACTTTATTTGAATACACCAGTAACCAGTGCCAGTGCCAGTATTAACATATAAGTGACACAAGGTCCTTAACATTATCAGTATATTAGCCATTGTGGATATGACCTAAACGCTGAGTTGTTTTTCTAATTACACATTATTATAACTAGGGCCCAGAGTTTTGTGACCTGACCAGAGGAAAACTCCTGACCCTACACATACAGTACACACACCCAACTGAGGTAGAGAGCAGTCAGAGTTTAACATGATGAAATAGGCCTGAAGCAGGACAGGACCACACAAAAGCACAAAGGCAGCACTTTACAGCAAGGATCCGTGGGCATCAGATACCGTCCATGTGAATTCACCAACTCACCAGGGCTACACAGAACCACACAGTCAGTACTTTTCCCCCCGCTCACATTTTTGGGGTAAACTCACCACATAAATTACTGAAAGTACAGGAGGGTAGCCATGTAGCACATATTTGTGCAGCAGGCATATTTCACGGAGACATTTACAGGCCTTTTACAAGGTAAATAAGCACTGGGGACTTATAGTGCATGCACTGTGGATGGAGGGGTAGTCAATTACCTGAGTAGACTGTACAAGGGGGTGTCTGTGTATGTCTGCCGCTGGTTGGTACCAATGGCTTAGATGGGTGCATAATCTTAGAACGTGTTTAGAGGGTATTTTTTGTATACTGTATGCATTGTATGGTTGGGGTCAATTCCATTTCAACTCCATAAAGAGTGAGTTGAAAATCCTAATGGCGAATGGATGCCCCTTTTAATTTCTTGAATTGAATTTGACTGGGTGGAAATGGAATTGACCCTACCCTGATGCATTGGATCAATCAATCTAGCGATTGATCAATAAATCAATAATTCTTCATCATTATACCAAAGGGACATTTTATTTATTGGCAGGGGACATTAAAGTGGTAAAATATATTAATCATAAATGAAGAGTTTATTTCCAAAATGCTATATCCACCAATTTTTCACATTTGTGTTTTTTCATCAGAAATGATTGCTTATGCTTACCTTCATGTGTGTTTAAATAAATGACTGGTCTCAGATTTTTTATTAAAAGATTTTAGATGTGTAGGATTATTTTGTTGTTGTTGCAAAACTCTATAGCCTATATCCATTGTTCAGCTGGAATGGAATGTTCGTATCCTGTATATTTGACTGTGATATGTGGTTGTCTCACCTTAAGATGAATGCACTTACTGTAAGTCACTCTGGATAAGAGCAGCTGCTAAATGACTAAAATGTCAAATGTAAATGTTTTACATACAGATCTCATATTACTGTATTTTTTTTTTTTTTACATTTACAAATATTGATGTCACAAATGTATCATTTATACAGTTCTTTATAAAAAATATACTTATTTGTTACATTTGACTGTGTAAAACGTAACAGTACTACTTATTGCTCTTAGAATGAGTCGGATATATAGCATTTAGCAAAAACCATGATCATTTGTCTCTGAAATGAAACCATCAAGTGATAGATTTTAAACAAATACATCTCTGTCATTGAACAACTCCATGCTTTTATTAGATGGTGAAAAAACACACCAATTTCTTTCATAATTTCTTTAAACAATAAAAGCTAATTTACTAACATTTCTATTTATATAGAGAAAAAGTAAAGATTAGAGAGAAGGCTAGCATTCACCAATGGACAGTACAAGTACAACCCCTTCATAAGTAACATTACATACAGAGTGTGGTTGTTGTTGTTGTTGTTATACTGAACTTGTGAAACCTTCTGTTTGGTGTTCAGCTCCTGCCTCTGAGATGAAGGTCCTACAGATAAGACATGGTCTCCTGCTATTCCTCCTCACTGCTGTAAGGACCCAAGTCAACCCAGGTACTGTACATGGAGGTCAACCATAGCCTTTTCACACTATCAGAGCAGCACTGTGCTGGCTTAAATGTCCTCTCCAGCATGGTTCCAGCAACTATGGTGGATGCGTAAACAGGCCAAGACAGTACAGCTTGACTTGGTTGACTCAGTAGTCTGAAAAGGATGTTAAGTGTTTGTTAACTCATTTTAAGATGTTACATGTTCATATCACGTCTCTGCATTTTCTAAAGTGTTTATTGTTATTGTACATACATCTAACTGAAAGAGATATTACCATATTCTAGTCAAATCAAAATGTTGACATAATCGATATACCAGCACGCCGTAAAAGCTAGGTGGGCTGGTTAGGTCATCACCGTCTGTGACGAGGACTGAGTATACGAAGAGGCAGGATGCAGACGCAGGAATTAACAAGGTCAAGGTTTACTTAACAATGACAAAGATAGAGTAAACGACACGAAGCTAAACAATCACACACAACATCATCCAGAACAGTCCAGGGCTAAATAGGGGTGGTGATGAGATGATGAGGTGCAGGTGCGCTGGAGGGGATTAGGGCGCATTGGGTTTCCATTCCGGTGTTGCCGAAGTGGTGCGCTCAGACTGGTGGCTCAGTAGACCGGCGAATCAGAGCGCCGGAGGGGAGCAATGGGAGAAGACGTGACAGTGCCATTGTGTGTGTGTGTGGGTGCGTGTGTGTGTGTGTGTGTGTGTGTGTGGTTTAGCTATTGGTCCATTGGTCAGACAGCAAATATGTGAGAACAGGCAAACCATTCACAGGCTGGGGGCATTCAGGAAATGTCTGAAAAGCAGTAGGTGGAGGAGAGGAGAGGCTGATGGTGAAAGAGGCTGCTGGAGGTATGGAGTGAGCTGTCGAGACTCATGTCTGGTGTGTGTGCTTGTGTGTGTGTGCGTGTGTTTGTGTGTGTGTGTGTGTGTGTGTGTGTGTGTGTGCATTTGTGTGTGTGTGTGTGTGCGTGCGTGCGTGCGTGCGTGTGTGTGCGTGTGTGTGTGTGTGTGCGTGTGTGTGTGCGTGTGTTTGTGTGTGTGTGTGTGTGTGTGCATTTGTGTGTGTGTGTGTGTGTGTGCGTGTGTGCGCGCGCCTGTGTCAGTGCTAAGGAGCAGGATGACAGGAGAGGGACTCATTCATAACCTCGCCTGGACTTTTCCACTTGAAATAGTTTGAAGCCTATTTTGTCCGCAAGCTCTCCAAGTCTATTTCTATGTTTCAGTGTTACTTTGAGTTGTCAGCAGTTACAGAATGAAGAGTAATAGGCAGGTACAGTAAGAGTAGGACAGAGTCAGAAGTTATGCACGATAAGTTAACTACATCACTGACACAGTAGGTGAAGAAGCCATTTGGTCTCTCACACACACACCTCAATTGCTGTTTTAACAGCTCATGGTTTTTCTCTTTCTTGCTATGATAAATGTTGATGTTTTAAACTACCATAATCATATCTTGAGCAATTTGAGTCCTTTATATTTTTTTATTTTTTTAGTTTCCAATGGTTACAGCTCTAAGTCTAAAACTATCTATAGCTTTGGCTCTGGTACAAATTAGAGAAAAAAAGATGCAAAATAAAGAGGAAAGCTGAAGGGGCCCCTCCCTACTCTTTTTGCTTGGACTGGCACCTACATAGTGATGCCTCTGTTTCAGTGGAGGGGCCTCCCAGGCCTAAAGGAAGAAGCTGGGGGAGGGTTGTGCCCTGTCCACTTCAGTTCTGACTCAATCCAGATCCTACCAAATGCATGTGCAGTGCGGCACACTCATGGACATTGGGCATACATTCCCATGCATAGATACACACACATGCATGCACACACACACACACCAAACGTCTGAGTGACTTGTTGATGACATGAGTTGAATCTGTTTAATTTGCCATTGTCATAGCTTTTAACTAGGTCCTGGAGTTTTTCCTGGTCAGGCCACGTGGTCAGGAAAAACTCCTGGCCCTAAAAACATGCATCTATATACACTGTATCTGCTTTTAGGTGTGTGTCGGTATCCTCTGGGTATGACTGGAGGACAGATTCTTGATGAGGATATCTCTGCTTCTAGTCAGTGGTCAGAGTCTACAGCAGCAAGATATGGCAGGTATGCTATCTGCATTGTCACCATATTGTAGACGCGTACACACTAAACTCTTTTCCGTCAGGTAATCAGAGTACTGACTGTACTGTCTGAGTGAAGGCAAGCCTATGCCTATTGCCCTTCACCAATCCAACCTTGTCAGATCAGTGATCCCTTAAAATAAGGGAGGAAGGCATTTTTATTATTCAATTGACTAAATATTCCCTTCTACTCCTTTCCCCCCTCCTCCCTTCCTTCCCCCTCTCCTCCTCAGATTGGACTTTGACGATGGAGACGGGGACGGGGCATGGTGCCCTGACATCATGGCCGAGACGGACACAGGCGGCCTGAAGGAGTTCCTCCAGGTGGACCTGCGTTCGCTGCACTTCATCACGCTCGTGGGCACCCAGGGTCGCCACGCCGACGGCATGGGCAACGAGTTTGCCCAGCGCTACCGCATTAAGTACAGCCGCGACGGCAGCCACTGGGTGGCCTGGCACGACAGGAAAGGCAGGCAGGTGAGCAGATGCAAGCTAGTTTCCACACTACCAGAATCCATTCTGACATCCGATTTCAATGTTTTTCCAATGTTGATTCAATGTCCTTTTGCTCACTGGTCTGGGTTCAAATAGTATGAGTTTTCTTTGAAATACTTTGAGTGTTTTATTGAGCCTGCCTGGAGTGCCAGTTGGTGCCCAACTGTTGGGCTGGGTTTTCATTTTTGGGACTACTCCATTGGTTGCACAATCTTGCTTTGATTGGCTTTGTGATTGGTGTGACTTTTCTATAACTTCCTTTCTTGTCTGGCTGTGTTTGTTGGCGTCAGCTGTTTAGTGACTGTAGTTTTTGGATGATGATGATGATGATGATGATGATGCCCTTTCCTGTTCCTGTCTGTAGGTGATCGAGGGGAACATGAATGCCTATGACGTGGTGCTGAAGGACCTGGAGCCACCCATCATCGCCCGCTTCGTACGCTTCATGCCCATCACAGACCACTCCATGATTGTGTGCATGAGGGTAGAGCTCTATGGCTGTGAATGGCTAGGTCAGACACACTACAGTACATCCTATATCTAATCCCATCCTGTACTATCCTACATCCTATATCTAATCCCATCCTACATCCTTTCCGTATATGAAACTGAAAGAAAAGGTAATAGCCTAGATGCTCCCAGAGTTGGAATGTAAAGCAAAGTTTAGACCAGGCTGATGTAAAATGGCCGCTATCATTGATTGTGACCTTTCCTTTGACCTGTCCCTGGCTGTGTGTTATTGCAGATGGCCTGGTGTCCTACAGTGCTCCGGCCGGCCAAGAGATGACCTACAGAGGCCTGGACGTCCACCTCAATGACTCGGTCTACGATGGATCCATGGGTCTACGGTCAGTTGGGTTTGTTTTAGTATATTTGTACTTCAACAGTGGCATATTGTAAGTACAAAACTGTTAAGAAGCGTTAAGTGGTCCACATCCGGAGTGACTCTGACCCGAAGGTACTATTTAACAAAGTTGTGGGCCATTCTTGGCCCATGTGAAGATTCTGTGTACAACCCTTGTCACACTACTGAGCTAAGCGGAGCCAAGCTGTACTGCCCTGGCCTGGTTTTGTATCCACCATAGTTTCTGGAACCGTGCTGAAAAGAACAATGTGAAAGGAAAATATCCAAGCCAGCACAATACGGTTCGGGTCAGTACGATAGTGTGAAATTATGACGTGTAATACACAAGTGGAGGCAACACAGGCATGATAGCAACAAAGACCTATTTTTCTCGTCTCTCCCCCCAGTATGGGTTAGGGATTAAGTGCCATGCTCAAGGGCACAACTGTAGCGGATGGGAGTAATGGTCCTGTCTCCTCTCTCCCCCCAGTATGGAGGAAGGCCTGGGCCAGCTGACTGACGGGACGTGGGGTCTTGATGACTTCCTCCACAGTCACGTGTACGGCGTGTGGCCCGGCTACGACTACGTGGGTTGGACCAATGAGAGCTTCCCTAAGGGCTACGTGGAGATGACCTTCGAATTTGACCGCGTCCGCAACTTCACCTCGATGAAGGTGAAAGGTCAACTAGTACAAAAGGAGATGGAGGAGGATGTGGTTTTACCATGTTCCCAATGGGCAAAACTGGGCAAAACTGGTTGAAATTCTGGTTGTATTGACGTAGTTTCAGACAGACCATAACCCTGTGTCATTGGTCCACTCAATAGGTATGCAAGAGATACTGTATTCAGCCACATGTGGAGGTCTGTTTTGTCCTTCAAGAGTGGCTGAACATCTAGGCATATGTCCTACAACTTTAGCCTCCAATTGTTTCATCAGTGGCTATCCAGTTTGTTCTTCAAACCATGCAGTGACAGACAGTATACTACAGTACACTCTGCTCTCAAGTTTTATAGTTGATAGTTCTCCTCCTCTCTCCGTAGGTGCACTGCAATAACATGTTCAGCCGCGGCGTGAGAATGTTCCGGCAGGCCTCGTGTTACTTCCGTACGTCCGATTCGGACTGGGAGTCCCAGCCAGTGTCCTTACGTCTCCCGGTGGACCGGGTCAGCCAGAGCGCCCGGTTCATCACCGTGCCCCTGGGGGACCGCATGGCCAGCACCATCAAGTGCCGCTTTGCCTTCAACGAGGCCTGGATGATGATCAGCGAGGTGGCCTTCCAGTCAGGTGAGACTTGAGAAGCCTGGGTCATGTCCAGTAGGGCTCACTGTAACAAAACATTTTTGAAACAGGAAATAAAAATCTTATTGTGTTTTAGTTCAGGTGGTGTCTCCCTGTTCCACTCTGTTTCTAAATAGATGATGACATTTCTCCTCTTTCTTTCTTTCTTTCTTTCTTTCTTTCTTTCTTTCTTTCTTTCTTTCTTTCTTTCTTTCTTTCTTTCTTTCTTTCTTTCTTTCTTGCTCTATCTATCTCTCTCTCTCTCTCTCTCTCTCTCTCTCTCTCTCTCTCTATCTCTCTCTCTCTCTCTCTCTCTCTCTCTCTCTCTCTCTCTCTCTCTCTCTCTCTCTCTCTCTCTCTCTCCCCCTGTCTCTTTCAGCAGGGACAGCAGTTTATAATACATCTCCGACTCCCCGCAAACGTGGCCACCCGACAAATGTTCTTCCAGGTCAGCTCCAGCTACATTCTTACCTATTTTGCCTTCGCCAACCCTCTCTCCTTTTGCATTCAATAGTGCCCTCTGCTGCCTGTTCTTAAAATGCTGTTGCATTAATTGTGATGAATAGAGGTTAGTTACAGTGAAATATGAGGGAAATTACAACAGCATTAATGAATGATAAATACAACACTTACTGAGGATGACATTATAATGAGTTTTTATGAAAACCTTACATGTGATGTGAGCACTAAACGTCTTGATGACAACCCTTTCTTGTAATAAATATTATACTGCCATGTTTCTAGCTGTCAAATCCTCAATGTTTCTAGCTGTCAAATCCTCAATTCCTTCAGTGAGGGATCTTGGATTCTTCTCTCCAATGCACTTTGACAGGGAGGTAAGGAATTGAGTAAACAAGGACGGAGGAAGCAACGAAGCCCTCTGTTAAATATTCTCTACCTTCTGGTACATTAGGAGATGACCCCATTCACAAAGTGGATGAAAGCAGCACCCGGATCCTGATTGGCTGCCTGGTGGCCATCATCGTCATCCTTTTGGCCATCATAGTCATCATTCTATGGCGCCAGGTCTGGCAGAAGATGCTAGAGAAGGTATGTAAAATGTATGTTTTCAGAGAGGAAATCATTAGGGTTGATCTAATAGCTACGAGGAAACGTCTCTGTCTTGTTATAAAATAAATACTGCTGTCAGGCTAAAAAGGACGTCAGAAACTAAGACTGCGAATGACACTGATCAAAGTTGTTGATTAAAGTTTTTTTTTTACCTCAAGTGTTTCTTACTAGCAGTAATGTAACCCCTAAACTCGATTTCCAGGCCTCTTAGCCAAACTCAAACACAAGATTACAACATCTGTCAATGTTTGACTTGGTGCCAACTACAGAGTTAGAAAAGCTAGAAAATGCACCTCCTATCTTTGCCATTGATTGCTTCTGTTGTCCCAAGAGCGTCCTCTAGCTTTTCTCTCTGGTGCCACCGAACATTACAACACACACAGTTTATAACAGTAACTACCCTTCCCTCCAGGCTTCTCGGCGTATGCTAGACGACGAGCTGTCGGCCCGTCTGGCCGTCCAGACCCAGGCCTTCTCCTTCCACCACTCGTCCCAGTCCAGCGGGGACGGCTCCAACTCCACCTACGAGAGGATCTTCCCCCTCTGTTCCTCTGACTACCAGGAGCCCTCCCGCCTCATCCGCAAGCTGCCCGAGTTTGCCCAGTCCACCGAGGAGCTGGGTGAGTTGATTAAAGGGAAAGTTTAACAGATGTTTTCAGACTTCAGCGATGGTGAGGGACATGGACTAATCTTGACGTTAGACTACTTTTGGTGTGAAAAAAATATGACAAACTTTGATTCTGGAGTGTAATGTCCCTTTCAGCCAGTGTTTATCAAATCGTGGGTCTAGTGACCCCTAATTACTTTTGGGTGGTGGCTTATTAAGACAGGCCTGTGTCTAGAAATATCAGTGTTGTTAACTTGGAGGGTCACAAGAATATTTCAATGGTCTTGATCAGGTCACAGCTTATTGAAGTGTGAACCTATGCTCTGTGTACTCCACAGCAGCGACTAGCTCCTCCTCCAGACCGCCCCAGGCCTGTGGTTCAGACGGGGCTCCCCACTACGCCGAGGCAGACATTGTGAGCCTGCAGGAGGGGACTACGGGCAGCAACACCTACTCCATCACGGCCGTCAACATGAGTCTGCTCTCTGGGAAGGACACGGCCATGAGGGAGTTCCCCAGGGACAAGCTCACCTTTAAGGAGAAACTGGGAGAGGGACAGTTTGGAGAGGTATGGATTAAAACTCTCTTGGGGGAAAAGAGAGTGTTTTGTGTGTGTGCGTGTGTGTGCAAACATGCAGGCAAGCAAACAGAAAGAACAAAAGTCAGATGACTCTTGCTTTCTTGCTAGACAGATGAAACATCAATAGTAAAATGCCTTTGTTTCTTCCCACAGGTGCACCTGTGTGAGGCAGAGGGCATGCATGATTTTGTGGAGAAGGATCTGTCTGAAGAGGTCAATGACCTTTCAAATAAGCTAGAGGGCAGCGATGACACACCTATTCTGGTGGCTGTGAAGACACTGAGGGAGGACGCCAACAAGAACGCAAGGTGAGAGCACCTGATCTGGAACTGTTTCCATGACAACTGTAATGTCATAAGTACAAGAGCCACAGGATGTACAGTATGGAAAATGGCTTTTGTGATCTGCATGACAACAATGCTTGTTCTTGCCTCATCTTTCACTTTGTGTTCTTGGTGTCTTGCCATTGGCCAGTTGTAACAGAGAATGTGTTCACAATAGTCTACCAAGTAAGATGAAGTAAATTGACAAATCAACAAATGGAAAGAGCACTGTATTACCCTATTTAGCCAGGTGTCACATCCGTTACCATCCCTTGTAATAGGAATGACTTCTTGAAAGTTAAACTACGTGGTGCGACAATGTAAAGTGTGACTAGCAGGTGTCATAACTTTTACCTTCCAGTGTTAGTTACAGGAATTACTTCTTGAAGGAGAAACGACAGGGTATTTTTGTGCAACTTAATGTGAAGTGTGACTGGCAGATGTCATAGCCGTTACCACCTCGTGTTACAGGAATGACTTCCTGAAGGAGATCAGGATCATGTCTCGGCTGAGGGACCCTAACATCGTTAGTCTGCTGGCAGTGTGTGTGGAGAGCGACCCCCTCTGCATGATCACGGAGTACATGGAGAATGGAGACCTTAACCAGTTCCTGTCCAGCCATCAACTGGACGAAGTGGAGGAGACACAATCTAGTGACAAAGCCACGGTCAGGTACGTTACATCTGCATCATTTTACTACATAATGACATCACCGATAGGGGTTATTATGAAAGGTGATAATCATAACAACAATTCATTTTCGCATTTTTTATTTATCAAGTAAATTTCTACATCCATATAGTTCATTACAGTATGCGTAAACCGATGCAATAGCGCAGTATTAAAACGTTTGTCACTCCAACACTTTACAATTAGCTAAAATGTGTTATTTTCTGACCACATACACTTGCCCTCTCTTTATCATTATATAAAAAATAATATTTCAATACACTCTTTCATCTCTCTCATATCCTCTTAGCTACAGCAACCTGATGAGCATGGCTACACAGATAGCCTCTGGTATGAAGTACCTGTCCTCTCTCAACTTTGTCCACCGTGACCTGGCCACGCGCAACTGCCTGGTGGGCAAGAACTACACCATCAAGATTGCTGACTTCGGCATGAGTCGGAACCTGTATCGCGGTGACTACTACCGTATCCAGGGACGGGCCGTTCTTCCTATTCGCTGGATGTCATGGGAGAGCATCCTGTTGGTAAGAGAGAGCTTAGAGAGCGCTGATATTAGCAGTAATGTTCTGTCGCATGTCGTTTTCAACCAAACTGTGTGTCTTTCCCAGGGGAAGTTCACCATGGCCAGCGATGTGTGGGCTTTTGGCGTGACTCTGTGGGAGATTCTGACCCTGTGCGAAGAGCAGCCCTACTCGCAGTTTTCCGACGAGCAGGTCATCGAGAACACTGGCGAGTTCTTCAGGGACCAGGGCAAGCAGGTGACTACCACACTAGTTCCAAAAGGGTTATTCGGCTGTTCCCATAGGAGAGCCATTTTTGGTTCCTCTGTGGAAAGGGTTTTACATGGAACCAAAAAGGGTTTTTCAAAGGGTTCTCCTATGGGGACAGCCAAAGAACCCTTTTAGGTTCTAGATAGCACCTTTTCTTCTAAGAGTGTACCAGTGACAGGCAGAACATGTGTACATGCAACAAAACGGGTACAGAACCAGGTTTGTCAGTCTGCGTGACTAAATATTGTGTTAGCTTGCTCAGCTAAATGTCTTGGAGCTAGCTTAGTCGTACGGTTTACATATTGTTGAGGTTGACAGACATGCACTGTGTGTTGTTCTGTGACTGAAATATGGGCAAGTTACAGGTGACAAAACATCCCAAATTGTATTTCTTGTCATTTCCTAAAACTTCTTCTCAGGTGTACCTGCCGAGGCCTGCCTGTTGCCCTGATGCGGTCTATAGCAGCCTGATGCTGGGTTGCTGGAGGAGAAACGCCAAACAGAGACCCACCTTTCAGGAGATATACAGCCAGCTTGGGGAGAGCCAGGAATAGCAGCACATATATAGACCCCAGTTATATAGAGTGCTCCGGGTGAAAGTTCCCCTAGGTACAGATCTAGGATCAGCTTCCCCTCCGCCAATCCTAACCTTAACCATTAGTGGGGAAAATGCCAAACTAACCTAAGATCAGCGTCTAGGGGCAACTTTATCCTACACTTCATGCTTTTTTGTAACATGGACCAGCATCATTCTACATTCAAGGGCCGGCAAAGTATGGTCCTTCCTCCTTTGAGGACCCCGTAAATTAGAACTAGCACATGAGAACTGACTGAAAACTGCATGCGATGTTCTCTTCATCTCTCTTTCTCTCTCTCAGCCTTTTTCTCTCTCAGTGTTAGTTGACTCCCTATCGCTATTCACCAGAGCCATGTATATTTATATTAACACTGTCTATTGCACACTCTGAAAACGCCACCTCTCTCTCTCCCTCCCTCTCTCTCTCTCCCTCTCTCTCTCTCCCTACATCACAATCTAGTTTTTAGGGTGGGGGACAGTTCTGTAAAGATTATTCATTGTGTCTGTAGCTCAATTGGTAGAGCATGGCGCTTGTAATGCCAAGGTAGTGGGTTCGAACCCCGGGACCACCCATACGTACAAATGTATGCACACATGACTGTAAGTCGCTTTGGATAAAAGTGTCTGCTAAATGGCATATTTATGATGAAATGTAGGAATGCTGTGTCAGAGAGTGCACACCAGGAAATGTAATGTTGTTTATAATATTAAATGATTATGTTATGAAGATAATAATGTGTAGAAAGTCTCCTTTTGGACTGTTTGCTAGGTTTTTCTTTATTCAGTTGATGTTGTGAAATGTGTTGTATTTTGTCAAAGATAATTAGTCCTTTGAGTTAAATTTGTGCCTTGAAATAGTGCAACTTCATACTTAAAACCTGCATTTATATTGTTTGTGCAAGTTTTATACTCTAATTAGACAGTAGGCCTACTTATGGTTTCAATGAATTTACTGAACCTTCTTCAATGTTCAAAACAATTTTAAAAAACAACAATAAAATGTTAAAATCAAAAAAGATGATGCAGATTGTTCCTCTTTTCCTCAGCAACTCAGTGAGCCTGAAAAAGAAAGACAAAAACAGAAGTAGGAAAAAAAACGGTAATTCACAACTTCTTATTTTCAATATTCTGTATTGACAGGATGTATTGCTACAATATTTTATCAATAAAATACAGAGTAAAAGTACAACAGAGTGCTTAGTAATGCTTAAAGGCTTCTTCTACTTTCCTCTGCCCCCTCTCTGTGCTCTCCAGAGTCCCTGGAAGTCCTGTAGTCTTCTTCCTCCAACCTATAGCAGTGGAAAGGCTAGTGGAGGTCAGCACCTCATCACTGATAGGAATCTGTAGTTTAACAGGGGCTTCAGCCAGCAGTGTGCAATCCTGAGGGGCCACAGAGCTCACTGGCAGCTCTCCAGGGGAGATGGAGGGAACCCCAGATGATGCTATCTTTGCGTTGGGGAGGTTTAACTCCTCTAAAATAATTTGCATGGCTGCTTTGTCGAGTACCTGGCCAATGATCTGGTTAGCCAGACAGATGAGGGAGTCATGTGAAGCCCAGTATGATAGTATTGAGGCTGCTTATTGAAGTGAAGATTCCACTGAGTGATGATGACAGGGAGGACAGGGAGCTATTGATGTCATATGCGGCATACTCATCATCCATGATCTTACTGGTGAGAGAGAAGATGGCGCCACGTTGGGCTCCAGATTATACATGTACCTCTGTTTTAGGGAGGTCCATGGCCGCCAGTTTCAGTTGCATTTTGAGAAGTTGGTTCCCAAGTGAAACTCATCAAGGTAAGAAACCTTCCAGTTGGTTCACCGGAGCGAGTCTCAGGTGAGATTCAGTCTGAAAGAAACGGCATGGCAACACATAAATAAAAATCTAGATAAGAGAAATGATTTTGGCATTATAAATGGGGTTATTCTCATTTATGGCATGATTTGTTTTACTATCAGATATTATCAACTGAAAAAAGTGTTGAAATATATCAAGGCTATAACAGCAAATGTAAAATGCAGTGGTATAGTTAACAGCAAACAAACACAGCCAAAAGTTTCCTGGACCAAATTGTTCCACACGTTGACGTGTTAGATATCCTCTTTCTAGGCCTACTCAAAATGTTATTTTCTAATAAATTATAATATTTTATTTTTTAGATAGAATTCAAATTCAAATGTTCTCACCTGTCATGAAATCATTCTCCATATTTGTCTTCATTGTGTTAGTGTAGAGTTATTTAGACTGTTCTTTACTTAAATGATTTCATTCCTGATTGTCACAGTCATTGTCATATAATTCTGACCAGAGCCACTGAGTGTACAAAACATTAGGAACACCTGCTCTTTCCGTGACATAGACTGACCAGGTGAATCCAGGTGAAAGCTATGATCCCTTATTGATGTCTCCTCCACTTCAATCAGTGTAGATGAAAGGGGGAGACAGGTTAAATAAGGATTTTTAAGCCTTGAGACAATTGAGACATGGATTGCGTATGTGTGCCATTCAGAGGGTGAATGGGCAAGACAAAAGATTGTGCCTTTGAACGTGGCTACTTGATGTGATAGGATAACGTCGGGCCCCTACAACGACCGCGTTATTAATGCGACACAATGTCGCAAATCACTGCCTGTCAGGGAATGAATTTGTTTGAAAAAAGTTAGTGTAAGCATTTGCAACAATGTTTCAAATGAAGAACCACTTGACGCAATATGGCGTTGTAACGTCACATTGTGGCAAGTGTAGGCCACATTTTGACAAAGTTGCTGTTAGTGGCAATACTGCCAAGTTACATTCACATGTCTCACTTGTAGTGCAGTTATAGCACTAGTAGCTTAGTTACTGTCTACTCTATCTCAAGCCGCTTCCTTATATAGCTTGTTGTCATTTAGTCTGACTAATCCATAAACTGACAATGATGCACTGACTGTCCACTGACTGTGTAATAACAGCAGACCTATGGAATTAAAATAAGCTTGTGTGTGCGGCAGCACATGTGTGTACATGACAGTGAATTTCAGAAAATGTAAACTGTGAAACATTTAAAAAGTTATCCTTTTTAGATAAAACTATACAAAATATATTCACGTCACCAAATAACTGATTAAAACACACTTGTTTTGCAGTGGTCTACAGTAGCCTCAACAGCACTCTCTGGGGTAGCACCATAGTATAGCAGAAGGACAGCTATTTTCCATCCTCTGAGTACATTGACTAAAATATAAAACATTGGCGGCTCATGGTTCTCACCCTCTTCCCTAGACCTACACAGTAATTATGACGGCTTCCGGAGGACGTCCTATCAGAGCTCTTGCAGAATGAACTGACATGTTGTCCACCCAATCAAAGGATCAGAGAATGAATTTAGTACTGAAAGCATAAGCTACAGCTAGCTAGCAGTGCAGTGCATAACATGTGGTGAGTAGTTGACTCAAAGACAGGGAAAGACAATAGTTGAAAAGTTTTAAACAAATTAATTTCTTCAGAAATTAAGGAGAGAGAGAGAGAGAGAGGGGGGGGGGAGAGCGAGAGATATTTTGTTGTATTTTTTCCACTTTCACTTACTTAGCTAGCTAATGCAGCTAGCTAATTTAGCTTACTCAAACACTCAGCTCAAACAGAGAGGAATGCTATTTATGTTAGCTAGCTGGCTAAGGCTATCCAACACTGGAACCCTTCCAAGTCAAGGTAAGCTTTCGGTTTTATTAATTTATTGCCACGGGGCCCACAGGTGTAACCGCTAAACTGCTTGCTGTACACTGTACTGCATGATTGTAGCTGGTTTACTAACGTGTTAGTTCTAGTAGCTATGTTGACTATGACGTTAGCTAATATAGTGGCAATGACGTAGGCTGTGTGTAGCGGTTATGGTATGAAGGTTTGGCTTGGAAAGGTTTTTTCGCCTAGTTACAGACAGCTGTTGTGTTGCACTGAAGTCCACAAGTGAAGGGTAAAGGTGAGAGGAGAGCACGTTGAAATACATTTTTTAAATGGAAGCAAACAGAACGAAAAGGGGATAAATCTACCTGAAAATTCTAGATCAGCTAGATGCAGGCAAAAGTGTGCAAGACGGTATTGAATGTGTCACTGTCTGTCACCTTGATTACTGCAATTTGTCTCTCGACCTGTGCACCTACATTATAAACTTTCATTCGTAGGCTAGGTTGTAGCAACCTCATGATGGGTATAGGGAAAATTCAAGTATCATGTAGTAGCCTAAACCTATCGATGTTACATTGAGCTGGGTGAATGGAATATGAATGACAGTCATCCAATGTGCTTTAATAGAAAGAAGACAATGCTCATACATTTTTTAAATAATAATAATAAACAGCACTGACCACTGACACACACATATGGTACACACACACCTGGATGTGGGCTCTGTCCGCTAGGTGGTCTGTGCTGCCACACTGTAGGAGTAATAGTAATTACCCTGTTAACCCCTCACACACACACGTATAGACACACACACACAAATGCATACGTACTTTACATCCTTTTCGATGTGACATCAATAAATTATTTTACTAATACACATTCCACAGGTACAACAGACTGGACTACCTATACCTTAATGCCGGGATCATGCCTAATCCACAGATTGACATCAAGCCTTTTTCAAGGGCCTATTTTCTAGGTAAGGTAATAGCCTTCAAGCCACACTCTACTCAAACAACACACACCATTTCATTTCTCAAGGAACCCCTGCCATTTCTAGTCAATGGTTCATATTTGCACCTTCGGTTATTTGAGGGGTTCTTGGAGTAACTTTTAATGGTCCTATGTAGCAACGGGTTCCTGGAGGAACCCTGGGGTGGAGGCGTGGCTTAGTAGGGGCTTGGCTTTAAGATAGATCTTTTTTTGGAAACCTGTTAGAGTAAATGTCTACTGTTAATCTGTTCTGTTGTATTGTCATCACATGTTAAGGTTGAACACTGACAGTTTTGTAGCTTCAATGAGGCTAACAGTGGTGTAATATGTAATCTGCATAAATATTCAAGGAACGTTTAAATTTGCAGTGTACAAAAAGCCACACATCCAATAAGCCACACTTCCAATAAGCCACGCCTCCAATCTGATAGGCTGCCGTCTCTACAATGTTTTATTAAAAAGGTTCAAAATTGAACCCCTCCCATCACAAAAAGGTTCTGGTTTGAACCTTCACACAAGGGTTCCTCGAATACCCTTTTCAGAGGGGTTCCTCAAGGAACCTTTTTGAACTGGAAAGGTTCCACCAGTGTGGCAACCCATAAGGTTCTTCCAGGCAGCTTTACTTCTCTCACAACTAGACTCCAAGTACAAATCAGTTTCCATTTGACCCCCTGAAAAAGTTTGAACATATAACCCTTCTTCAGATATTATGTCTAGTAAGTGTTTAGTATTTTCCTGTGCTCTGATGTGATGTCATCTTTGTGCTGCAGCAACGTCGTCAAAATGTTTGCCACAGCAGAGGGCCTCCTGACCCAGCAGGACCGTGTCAACAAAGGAAGTGTTCGCCACAAACCTCTTTGGACACTTTATGCTGGTACTTCATCTATCTTATTTTATCCTCTCTTACCGTAACATTTCTCAACACAGAGAGGTTTGACTCAAATGGAAACAGAGCCTGGAAATTAAAACATAAGCTGGTTAGGGCCAGATGTTTTTCCTAACCTACGTAACCTGACTAGGGCCCCTGTTACAACTAAGGCATAGGGACTGGCGTTTTCCTTGGTCAGGTCTCATGGTCACATGGTGAGGAAAAACGTAAAGGGGGGCTGAACTGATTTCGCCTCACTTTTCCACGTCCTTATTAAGAAATGATAGAAGCCATAATGAGAGTTGTCTTGAGGCTGTGGTATGATGTGGGTGTGTTATGTTCGTTGTGTGTTCCGCTTTACTCACCATAGTTGAAATATCCCATACAGCCACCTTACTTTCAACAAGGGATTGCGTGATTAATGGCTTTGCAAACGCCGGGTCACGTGCTGCTGTACTCCTAATCAATGCTTTTTTGGGTGCTGCCTACCGTACCAGGTAGCGGTCCCGTAGCGGAAACACGTTCTCTGAAGGGATGAATCAGCTTCACCATCTGCCAGTCCGACGGACGAATCTGGGTTTGGCGGATGCCAGGAGAACGCTACCTGCCCGAATTCATAGTGGCAACTGTAAAGTTTGGTGGAGGAGGAATAATGGTTCATGGTTCGATCTAGGCCACTTAGTTCCAGTGACGGTCAAATCTTAATGCTACAGCATACAATGACATTCTAGAAGATTTTGTGCTTCCAACTTTGTGGCAACAGTTTGGGGAAGGCCCTTTCCTGTGTCAGCATGACAATTCCCCCATGCACAAAGCGAGGTCCATACAGAAATGGTTTGTTGATTGGTGTGGAAAAACTTGACTGGCCTGCACAGAGCCCTGACCTCAACCCCATCGAACACATTTGGGATGAATTGGAACGCCGACTGCAAGCCAGGCCTAATCGCCCAACATCAGTGACCTCACTAATGCTCTTGTGGCTGAATGGAAGCAAGTCCCTGCAGCAATGTTCCAACATCTAGTGGAGGCTGTTATAGCAGCAAAGGGGGGACCAACTCCATATTAATGCCCATGATTTTGGAATGATACGTTCGATGAGCAGGTGTCCACATACTTTTGGTCATGTAGTGTAGCTAAATAAAATTGAAAGGATGTTTACCCCAAACGATTTCCGAGGGAATGCACACATGCGGCTATTCTGTGTTGGTTAGCAAAGAAACAGGTCCTCTTATATGCTTTATTTAGTTATTTATAAAACTTTATTTATGATACAAATGTTAGGCTATATGTTTAGATTTTCTATACATTCTAAGGCTGCATGATGCGACTCTAATGGTGAGAGGCATGAGCTCTGCTCTATTTCTTGCGCAGGCTGCACAGACTTCATCAGTCTCTCATTCACAATTTGACAAGCACTTGATAATATTCTCACCTATCAGACTATTCTCAATCTTTAATCTGGTCTTTACATATAGCCTACTAATATATGTGTGATTTAGAATGGCCCACAAAAACAATATGTGCGGTTACGTTTTTTAATATGCAAGCATAGGCAGTGCGTCCACAAGGCTAGGGGAAGCTAAGCTTTCCCTAAAGTAAATTGAATTAAATTGCCAAAATTATATAGCCTAATTAGCCTACTCCTGTTTATACATAAATAAATGAAATCATTCAAAATAGGCTACTAAAACATGATTTGGTCACAGAGGATCATTACCTTATTTTTAAAAAAATAAGTTGTGGATTGTTTTAAATCGTATTGGCAGAATTTGGTCAAGTTATTGTTTAGTTGTGACTGTCTGTGAAAAGTAGCGAAGCCAAGCCAGGCATATCACAATATCTCAAAATACAATCGAGAGAAAACATAGTTTGGAAAGACTAATCTGTGTTTCAGTTATCAAAAGTCTCAATTTATCTTATTGGCACCAGCGTAGAGCATCGGCCATATCCCCGGTGAGTGTGCACTGCGCATATTCACTATTTATCATTGTTGGGTCAGTGCTAATTAAGTTTATTTTTGGACAATAATTTCCTCCTCCAGTTTAGATGGACATCAAATTTTATTTATTTGTGTCTGACCTTCTCGTAGGCCTATTATATGGACAACGTCGTTTTTATTGATCCGTTTGTCAGTGTCAGCAGAGCAGGCTACCCTGTAATTTGTCGTATTAAAAAAGATTCTGCTAATGTCTCCAGTCATATAAAATGTAGTAGAATTGCATGAAATGTGTTTATAAAAGGCCACATTTTTCCCATGCAAAGAAAGAAGAAACGTATCTGAAATCACCTAGGTCTACGCTGAACGTTTTTTTTTGCAAACAGTGATTGAGTTATATTATCAGCCTAAATTATGACTATCCAATCTACTCATCACATTATGAATAGAGATACATAAGTCTGCAAATGCAATGATGCATGGAATGCTTTATTATAATAGTGAAAATGTGCTTCCCCAAACTTGAAACTCACGTGCAGCCCATATGTATGCCAGGTAGGCTACACAGGTTGTAAAGTGGATTCATGTGTTTAATTTTAAGAATTGACCAATGAATATAGCAGCATGAGAAAGCTGGGATCCTTTTTTAAATAGTGCCCAGTCAAAACTCGGCATTAGCGACAGGCAGTTAGCAAGTTTGGTAGGCTACTAATGACCATCAGCGGCAGCCGAGCGAAGTTTTAGAGAAGCCTAGTTACCGTGACTAAACGGTCAGGTCATGACTCGTGACCGCCGGTGTGGCGGTAATACAGTCACCGTAACAGCCCTAGATGGTACTCAAGAAATATGTTGTTTCATCATCTTTTCATGTTTTCAACCGAATCCAGTGATTGTCATGCATTTTGGGTTGACAATTAGGCTATTGTTGTTATATTTTACTGTTAAAATAGGGCTCCAGAATTTTCATCAATAGAGATTAATTTGCCTTCATCTTTATGTGCACTAATATCATAGGATAATTTATTTGAGGGTAATTCACCACCTGAGTAAGTGGAAACCCAAAACACATTAGCTAGATGTTATGATGAGTTTCTAGGGTATCAAGTGATTACGAATGTAAGAATGTACTTAGACACTTTTGATGGGGAGTTCATATTAGTATTTAATATGTACCATGGTTAGTTATAACAGAATGACAGAGCTTTGCCTTTACCATCTCCCTAACTCCAGAACAAAGATCCACTCTCTCTATATATACACTCTGTTACAAGTCTCTCCACGAACATCTGTTAATCATCATGGGCACTCCCATTCTTTGATGTTATTACTCTTTACCCCAAGTCAGTATATCCTGTCCATCAATCATGCTATCCTAAACATCAGTAATCTCCTTTGACATAACGGAATGTAGACTCCGTGGCACCAAGCCAATTATCTACTAACTCTAACCTGGTCCCCACTATACTATGACATGACATCAAAACACTTTAAAAACCTCATATCACTAGATTGCTAACTCTAAATATATGAACTGCCTTGATTAACTAGCGCTTGTATTTTGTCTCGCCACGCTAGCTATGCCCTCGTGTGGGTGCTAGCAAGCAAGCTAGGTAGTTCTAGGTATCAACAGCCAATCCAGTAGGGGCTGGAAGCTATAGTGAACTTTGATTGTTCAATAGTGCCGTGATATCGCAGAGTATTTGCATGAAGTTAAGCTTTCCCCAACTTAGATTCCGCCCTGTTCACACTCCCTTGCCCTATGGTAATATTTTAGCCCATGCTCACATCGCCTAATGGTCCCCTGCCCACTACACTTCTCTCTCATTGAAAATAAATGGCTTCCGTTCTTTCATCGCCCCCTATCAGAACCGGTTAACACGAGGCGTAACAATACATTTTACGTCCAAAAAAACGTTGCAGTTGTAGCCTACCACTCAATTTAAAAAAATGTATTTAACTAGGCAAGTCAGTTAAGAACAAATTCTTATTTACAATGACAGCCTACACCGACCAAACCCGGACGACTCTGGGCCAATTGTGCACCGCCCTATGGGACTCCCAATCACGGCTGGTTGTGATACAGCCTGGAATCGAACCAGTGGGTCTGTAGTGCCTTAGACCGCTGCGCCACTCGGGAGGTCAATGAGGCCTATGCAATCACTATGACCAATGTGCTTTTCGCGCACTCCGTATCTCAAAGCCTTGGTTGTAAAATAGTTTATATTGATATTGCGCTAAAAACTGAGAGTTGAGAAATACAAATTATAACTACAAAACAGCTGAGAACCTTTGTTCCACTGTGACAACTGGCTGTGTTTTCCCCGCAATTGGATTTTTAAATGTTAGACAATCAGAACACTTTTGTTCTTCTCCTGAGCATTTTTTACCCCGGGAAAGTAGTGGAGAATTTACTGTTTGACCAAATCATAGTTTTAGCCTCCTAAAAAATAGGACGTTTTGAGTGAGGTGAGCATGTACAATGTGCAGCTCGCACCAATGCGACCAATTAAAAATATTTACTCGCACAGCCAAGTCAAAGGGTCGCAAAATGCGACTAAATGGTCGCAGTCTGGAGCCCTGCTGTCTCTTTGGTCCAGGTTATCTGTCCCTTCAAACATTGTCATACTTTACATCTCTATGTTCCAGGTCAGGGAGCTAGACTCTATCCTTTGCCAGGCTGGTCAGACCTCCCGGGTAGTGTGGACTTCGTCCAGCAATGCCAGACGCTCGGCCTTCAGTCAAGACGATGTCCAGCACAGACTGGGGACCGAGCCCTACGCGTCCTCCAAGTGTGCCTCCGACCTCGTTAGCCTGGCCCTCAACAGACACAACAACAGCCAGGTGAGCCAAAATGTTCACTCAGTTACACATGGCAGCATTGGGCTATGAGCCACTGGAGGGTTGTGGCAGATCCATTTTGGATCCTTGCAAGAGATGTGGACTACGTGAGGTACACACTCATTCAGTTGCACATGGCTGTGTTTGTCTAAAGGATTTATCATATTCCAAATTTTGCACACGTATGCACAGCAGTGTTCTAGAATATTGGACCGTGGATTTCATACTTTTCACATTCTCAGTGCAACTCAAACAATTTCTCCAACTGTCAACACATTCAAATGAATAGAGGGGCGTACCGGAGGTTGGATGGTGGTCTCAAGAGAAGCATAGCTATGTCACAATGGGACGCCGGACTATCGCGTCTCAGCGTCTGTGGACTATGGTTTACCCTTAATCATAGGTCAGGAGCAACTGGTGGGTTGTGGTGGGTCCATTCTGGGTCCTGGCCTGGTGAGAGACTGGATTGTCTATGCTAGATCCTAATGGAGTGCTACCCTCTCTCATTGTTCATAGTGTCAAGTTGCATGACATTTTATATTTAGTAAAACTCTACCTCAAAAGTCAGTACATGTATCGGATAATCAATAATTAGACCTTTTTTTTTTACACGGTTGACAGGGGCTGTCAGTGATTTGTCCAGGGCTGGTGATGACCAATCTTACCTATGGCATCCTCCCCACCTTCTTCTGGACCCTCATCATGCCTATCACGTATCTCGTAAGTTGGTTTTACTCTTTAGTCTTCTTTGTCACTTGTTGTGGTCTTGTGATTTCATCAGAAAAACAGATTCATATAGACTTGTATTGTTACTTAACATGTTTGTCTTTATGAACAGATAAGGATCTTCACCAACACGTTCACACTGACACCGTACAATGGAGCTGGAGCATTGGTATGTCTCTCAGAAACTCATCTAAACAGTTCAGATATGTATTATTTACATCTAATATTATATATATTTATTGGCTGGTTTCCCAGACACAGATTAAAAGCTTAGTCCTGGACTAAAAAGCATACACAATACATTTTTAGTCATTTAGCAGACGCTCTTATGCAGAGCGACTTACAGTTAGTGAATACATTTTTTTTTTTTATACTGGCCCACCGTGGGAATCAAACCCACAACCATGGCGTTGCAAACGCCATGCTCTATCAACTCAGCTAAATCCCTGCCGGCCATTCCCTCCCCTACCCTGGGCCAATTGTGCGCCGCCCATGAGTCTCCCGGTCGCGGCCGGCTGCGACAGAGCCTGGATTTGAACCAGGATCTCTAGTGGCACAGTTAGCACTGCGATGCAGTGCCTCAGACCACTGCGCCACTCAGGAGAATGGAGAATCTACTTTGACAGTGCTTTTTAGCCCAGGACCAGGCTTAATCTGTGTCCAGCAAACCGGATGTATATTGTATTTTTTATGTAATGTTACCATCAATTAACTTGTTTTTACATTCTGCATCTTTGATCTATTTTGGCAATTATTAGATATTTTACAGCATAAGAATATTTAAATATGAAATTACTGTGTTTTCTTAGTATTTTACAGTTAATTACCACTGCAAACGCCACTGGATATTCATAGGATTACTGCATTATCACTCTAACTATGCTTATCTGATGGGTTTTGTGTGTTTATCTGGAAGATGCTTTTACGGTTGAAAACGTCACTCAACAGCTTGAAATGTTGCTTTAGCAGTATGCTTAAGGTCATTGTCCTGCTGGAAGGTGAACCTCCGTCCCAGTCTCAAATCTCTGGATGGTGTTCTCGGGGTGATGAGAGGTGTTGGGTTTGCACCAGACATAGCGTTTTCCTTGATGGCCAAAAAGCTAAATTTTAGTCTCATCTGACCAGAGTACCTTCTTCCATATGTTTGGGGAGTCTCCCACATGCCTTTTGGCGAACACCAAATGTGTTTGCTTATTTTTTTCTTTAAGCAATGGCTTTTTTTCTGACCACTCTTCCGTTAAAGCCCAGCTCTGTGGAGTGTACGGCTTAAAGTGGTCCTATGGACAGATACTCCAATCTCCGCTGTGGAGCTTTGCAGCTCCTTCAGGGTTATCTTTGGTCTCTTTGTTGCCTCTCTGATTAATGCCCTCCTTGCCTGGTCCATGAGTTTTGGTGGGCGGCCCTCTCTTGGCAGGTTTGTTGTGGTGCCATATTCTTTCAATTTTTTTATAATGGATTTAATGGTGCTCCGTGGGACGTTCAAAGTTTCTGATATTTTTTTATAACACAACCCTGATCTGTACTTCTCCACAACTTTGTTCCTGACCTGTTTGGAGAGCTCCATGGTCTTCATGGTGCCCCTTGCTTAGTGGTGTTGCAGACTCTGGGGCCTTTCGGAACAGGTGTATATATAGTGAGATCATGTGACAGATCATGTGACACCTAGATTGCACACAGGTGGACTTTATTTAAATAATTATGCGACTTCTGAAAGTAATTGGTTGCACCAGATGTTATTTAGGGGCTTCATAGCAAAGTGGGTGAATACATATGGACGCACCACTTCTCCGTTTATATATTTTTTAGAATTTCTTGAAACAAGTTATTTGTTTCATTTCACTTCAACAATTTGGACAATTTTTTGTATGTCCATTACATGAAATCCAAATAAAAATCAATTTAAATTACAGGTTGTAATGCAACAAAATAGGAAAAAAACGCCTAGGAGGATGAATACTTTTGCAAGGCACTTGAGTCATTTTTCATAATCTGATATGTCATCCTGTCTTTAACAGCACTCCCTGGATCCGAGAGCAAAGTACGACAGTTTGACGACATGCATGGGGAGCAACTACACGCAGCCTCGACAAGTGAGTGTGTCTTTCACGGTCCTATTTTAATCAAAGCCCCCCCCCCCCCCCAAAAAAAAAAAATATATCATATTTAATAGACAGTAAGCAAACATTATAGAAAGCTTTTGGAAAGCTAGGCCCCAAGATAAACATCTGTAATATTAAAGTTGTGAACAGATTCTATATTACTGTTTCGGTCTGATAGGGTTGTTCTAGCTTTAGGTTTAAAAGGGGTTCTAAGTCAATGTTATTTGATAGAAAAAAAGTATTGTTATCTAGCCTTTTTCTCATGGCTTTGGTGTTTTCTGTTTTTTAAGATGGACATGGATGACGACATGTCAGAGGCCCTGTATGTGAAACTGCTGGAAAATGAAAAAGCTGCTCGTAAGAGATTGAAAGAGGAGGATGACAATAAACAAGCCTACAAAAAGTACCTCAACCAGACAGAGTAGTCTTTTGTACGGCTATTCTCCTTGACTGACTAGTTTAGGCCTAATCACTCAACTTTTATTCTATAACATATCACCTACAGTGCCTTCGGAAAGTACTCAGACCCCTTGACTTTTTCCACATTTTGTTACGTTACAGCCTTATTCTAAAATGGATTCAATAAAAACAATTCCTCAGCAATATACACACAATACCCCATAATGACGATGCGAAAACAGGTTTTTAGACATTTTTGCAAATGTATTACAAATTTAAAACAGAAATACCTTATTTACATAAGTATTCAGACCCTTTGCTATGAGACTCGAAATTGAGCTCAGGTGCATCCTGTTTCCATTGATCATCCTTGAGATGTTTCCACAACTTGATTGGAGTCCACCTGTGGTAAATTCAATTGATTTGGAAAGGCACACACCTGTCTGTATAAGGTTCCACAGTTGACAGTGCATGTCAGAGCAAAAACCAAGCCATGAGGTCGAATGAATTGACCGTAGCGCTCCAAGACAGGGTTGTGTTGAGGCACAGATATGGGGAAGGGTACCAAAAAATGTCTGCAGCATTGAAGGTCCCCAAGAACACCGTGGCCTCCATCATTCTTCAGTGGAAGAAGTTTGGAACCACCAAGTCTCTTCCTAGAGCTGGCCACCCTGCCAAACTGAGCAATCGGGGGAGAAGGGCCTTGGGTCAGGGAGGTGACCAAGAACCCGATGGTCACTCTGAGAGAGCTCCAGAATTCGTCTGTGGAGATGGGAGAACCTTCCAGAAGGACAACCATCTCTGCAGCACTCCACCAATCAGGCCTTTATAGTAGAGTGGCCAGACGGAAGCCACTCCTCAGTAAAAGGCACATGACAGCACGCTTGGAGTTTGCCAAAAGGCACCTAAAGACACTCAGACCATGAGAAACAAGGTTCTCTGGTCTGATGAAACCAAGATTGAAGTCTGGCATGAATGCCAAGCGTCACTTCTGGAGGAAATCTGGCACCATCCCTACGGTGAAGCATGGTGGTGGCAGCATCATGATGTGGGGATGTTTTTCAGCGGCAGGGACTGGGAGACTAGTCAGGATTGAGGCGAAGATGAACGGAGCAAAGTACAGAGAGATCCTTGATGAAAACCTGCTCCAGAGCGCTCAGGACCTCAGACTGTGGCGAAGGTTCACCTTCCAACAGGACAACGACCCTAAGCACACAGCCAAGACAACGCAGGAGTGGCTTTGGGATAAGTCTGAATGTCCTTGAGTGGCACAGCCAGAGCCCGGACTTCAACCCGATCTAACATCTCTGGAGAGACCTGAAAATAGCTGTGCAGCAACGCTCCCCATCCAACCTGACAGTGCTTGAGAGGCTCTGCAGAGAAGAATGGGAGAAACTCCCCAAATACAGGTGTGCCAATCTTGTAGCGTCATACCCAAGAAGACTCAAAGCTGTAATCACTGCCAAAGGTGCTTCAACAAAATACTGAGTAAAGGGTCTAAATACTTATGTAAATGTTCTTATGTAAATGTACTTTTTAATTTTTTATTTTTTTATAAATTAGCAAAACTTTCTAAACTGTTTTTGCTTTGTCATTATGGGGTATTGTGTGTAGATTGATGAGGGGGGAAAAAAACAATTGAATCAATTTTAGAATAAGGCTGTAACGTAACAAAATGTGGAAAGTCAAGGGGTCTGAATACTTTCCGAAGGCACTGTATATGAACAAAACTGTTTCATTCAGTGTGTTTTACTCCGTGTGAATGGAAAGAAATGGTATGCTCTGTATAAGTTGACCATAGCCATGAGGGACTAGTAGTGGTTTGAATAATGTCGCTCTATTTGAGTGAATACTCTATAGCATGGGGTGTCAAACGTCCGGCCCGCGGGCCGGATCAGGCCCGCAAACGGGTTTAATCCGGCCCGCGAGATGATTTAAAAAAAAATAATAATAATAATAATAATAATATTTTTGTAAAGTATAAAAATGCGCTGCAATTTTTCAATAAAATAAACTGCTGTTCCAATTGCGTCCACTGGATGGCGCAATAGCAATTGTGTTAAGCAAGCAAACTGTTTATACCGGGGCAGAGCAAGTAGGTCAAGCACGTGCAGCCAATGAGCTACTTTGTTTTGCCCGCGATATTTATTACGGCTTCTACTTTTAACATTATGTGCTTTGGCACCCTCATTGCCCCAATATGTCTCTGTCAAAAAAGAGAAAAGTGGACGCAGAGTGCAGAGTGTTCCAAGAAAAATGGTCATCCTATTTATTCACGGAATTGAATGGGAAAGCTGTATGTTTGGTGTGTTCAGAGCATGTTGCAGTGCTGAAAGAATATAACCTTCGTCGCCACTATGTGAGTCTTCATGCCGACAAATATGACAACTTTCAAGGACAGCGGAGATGAGAGAAGGTGAATGAACTGTTGGCGGGTCTGAAGAAACAGCAGTCTGTGTTTACTCACAGCCGAGACATCAGTGACGCTGCAGTGAAAGCTAGCTACCTCATTGCTAATGAAATCGCAGTGGCTTCAAAACCATTTAGTGAGGGTGAATTTGTAAAAACATGCATGATGAAGGCAGCGGAGATTGTGTGCCCTGAAAAGCGGCAGGCTTTTGCAAATATCAGCCTGACAAGAAACACAGTTGCAGACAGGATTTCCGATCTTTCAGTGGATTTGGACAGCCAGTTGAAGCAAAAAGTAAAGTCATTTATTGCGTTTTCGGTTGCAATTGATGAAAGCACGGACATTACAGATGTTGCACAACTGGCCATTTTCATCCGCGGAGTTGATGACACATTGACCGTCACCGAGGAGTTCGTGGAGTTGGTGCCGATGACAGATACAACGACAGCAGCTGATATTTTTACCGCACTCGTCGGCGCGCTGGACAGGGTCGGAGTGGACTGGTCCCGCGCTGTCAGCCTGGCTACAGATGGTGCACCCTCAATGATCGGGAAAAAAGCAGGCGTTGTGACAAAGTTCAGAGAGAAAGTGCAATCTGCAATTGGAGGACGTGATTTTTTGACTTTTCACTGTATTTTGCACCAGGAGGCTTTGTGTTGCAAGTCATTAAAGATGGATAACGTCATGAAGGTGGTCATCCAAACTGTTAATTTCATCCGATCCAGAAGCCTGAATCACCGTCAGTTTGACAGCCCTCTCAGAGAGAAAGACCACATCTATGGCCTGCCATACCACACTGAGGTAAGATGGTTAAGCCGAGGTGCTGTGCTGAGGCGTTTCTTTGATTTACGAGAAGAAATTGAACAGTTCATGGAAGAAAAGGGCAAACCAGTGTTAGAATTTCATTCCGCAGAATGGATGCAGGACCTTGCATTTATGGTGGATGTTACAGAGCACCTGAATAACTTGAACAAACAGCTGCAAGGGCGCAACAAAGTTGTCACGCAGTATTATGACAGCATACGTTCTTTCAAGTTGAAGCTGTCATTGTGGGAGACGCAACTTGCCGGTGGTGATGCAGCTAACTTCCCCTGTCTGAAAAATGTGTGCGCGACCCAACATGTGGCAGACATGAAGCGGTTCAAAGATAAAATAACGGGACTGTTACGGGAGTTTGAGCAACGCTTTCAGATTTATGTTTATATGTTTTTATGTTGATGTGCTATTGTTTTTAATTGATTTTATTTTATTTGTATATTTAACCTATTCTTGACTCTGTGGTTCTTGCACTTGTTTGGGGAACAGGATTTCATTATTTTTATCTACATTTCTGCCTGAGAAATGACACCCTGATATAGTTCTGTGATCTGTGATATACTTCTGTGAATCACTGAGGCATTGTGTGTTTGTGTGTTCTTTGTCCTCAGAACTTTCAAATAACTTGAGGTGTTTTATGATTAATAGTGATGTTGTGCTTTTGGACACTGTCCTCAGGCTCCAGCTTTATGTTTATATGTTTTTATGTTGATGTGCTATTGTTTTTAATTGTTTTTATTTTATTTGTATATTTAACCTATTCTTGACTCTGTGGTTCTTGCACTTGTTTGGGGAACAGGATTTCATTATTTTTATCTACATTTCTGCCTGAGAAATGACACCCTGATATAGTTCTGTGATCTGTGATATACTTCTGTGAATCACTGAGGCATTGTGTGTTTGTGTGTTCTTTGTCCTCAGAACTTTCAAATAACTTGAGGTGTTTTATGATTAATAGTGATGTTGTGCTTTTGGACACTGTCCTCAGGCTCCAGCTTTATGTTTATATGTTTTTATGTTGATGTGCTATTGTTTTTAATTGATTTTATTTTATTTGTATATTTAACCTATTCTTGACTCTGTGGTTCTTGCACTTGTTTGGGGAACAGGATTTCATTATTTTTATCTACATTTCTGCCTGAGAAATGACACCCTGATATAGTTCTGTGATCTGTGAAACAGTTCTGTTAATCACTGAGGCATTGTGTGTTTGTGTGTTCTTTTTCTTTAGAATTTTCAAATAAACTTGACGTGTTTTATGATTAATAGTGATGTTGTGCTTGTACTATTTTGGACACACTGTCCTCAGGCTCCAGCTTTATGTTGTATGTTGATCGTATTAAAACAAAGAAAACAATCTGAAGTTGTTGTTTTTAAGTTATATATACCATGATTTTTCCGGTCCGGCCCACTTGGGAATAGATTTTCCTCCATGTGGCCCCTGAGCTAAAATGAGTTTGACACCCCTGCTCTATAGAATCAGCTGTAGGCATTGACTTTTTATCAGCCACCATTTTCAATAGCCTCCCAGTTGAGGTTTCCCATTTACAAGCACTTTATAATTTGATCTTGGTTAGTGTACGCTAGCTAGGCTACATGAGTGCAGTTCCTTGTGTGACTATGACAGGAATATGTACAGTAGGCACTCGAGAAGATTAAATCAAATATGGTTTAAAAAATATATTGAACGGAGGCTGCAACTTAAATATTGAAAGCCACTGAAAATACTGGAATACTGAAATCAAATGCTAAAATTGAAACCGATACACCTGAAATGGTTAAGGGACATTTGTTAATGTCTCAGAAAGGGACCATGCAGCCTGTACATTCCTGCTGCTAACTCAAGGAGCTAAATGTGGTAGACTGTCAAGAGCTTTTGTGAATTATCAAGCACACATAGCAATAACTGACCAGAACTAGGCAAATTATGTCAAAGCATTCCTTTGCGTTTGGTTCACAGTGCTGCCTTATGGTAAGATGAAGAGTTGTGAGCTGTTTAACTTTTTTTAAATGAAAGTTTAAAATGAAAGATTTATTTGCATTATTTATGTGTAGCTTGTTTGAATGAAAGTGTATCTATGCCACCATTCTTCAAGCTAATGTGGACTTTGGCTCAATTTCTGATGTGTTCTTATCTGCAGTGCCTTCAGAAACCTTTTCCACATTTTGTTGTTTTACAGCCTGAATTTAAAAATGATTAAATTGAGACATTGTGTCATACACAATACCCCATAATGTCAAAGCAGAATTATGTTTTTTGAAATGTTTACAAATTAATTAAAAATGAAAAGCTGGAATATCTTGAGTCAATATGTATTCAACCCCTTTGTTAAGGCAAGCCTAAATAAGTTTGGAGTAAATATTTGCTTAACAAGTCACATAATAAGTTGCATGGACTCACTCTGTGTGCAATAATAGTGTTTAAAATGATTATTTTTTTTATGACTTCCTCATCTCTGTACCCCACACATTCAGTCGAGCAGTGAATTTCTAACACAGATTCAACCACAAAGACCAGGGAGGTTTTCCAATGCCACGCAAAGAAGGGCACCTATTGGTAGATGGGTAAAAAAAAAAAAAGCAGACATTGAATATCCCTTTGAGCATGGTAAAGTTGTTAATTATACTTTGGATGGTGTATTAATACACCCAGTCACCACAAAGATACAGGCGTCCTTCCTAACTCAGTTGCCGGAGAGGAAGGAAACCGCTCAGGGATTTCACCATGAGGCCAATGGTGACTTTAAAACAGTTACAGAGTTTAATGGCTGTGATAGGAGACAACTGAGGATGGATCAGCAGCGTTGTAGTTACTCCACAATACTAACCTAATTGACAGAATGAAAAGAAGGAAGGCTGTATAGAATACAAATATTCCATAACATGCATCCTGTTTGCAACAAGGCACTAAAGTAATAGTGCAAAAAATGTGTCAAAGCAATAAACTCTTTGTCCTGCATACAAAGTGTTGTGTTTGGGGGAAATCAAATACAACACATTACTGAGTCCCACTCAACATTTTCAAGCATAATGGTGGCTGATCATGTTATGGGTATGCTTGTAATCGTTAAGGACTGGGGAGTTTTTCAGAAAATAAATGGAATGGAGCTAAGCACAGGCAAAATCCTAGAGGAAAACCTGGTTCAGTCTGCTTTCCACCAGACACTGGGAGATGAATTCACCTCTCAGCAGGACAATAACCAAAAACTCAAGGACAAATCTACACTGGAGTTGCTTACCAAGAAGACCGTGAATCTTCCTGTGTGGCTGAGTTACAGTTTTGACATAAATCTACTTGGAAATCTATGGCAAGACCTGAAAATGGTTGTCTAGCAATGATCAACAACCAATTTGACAGTGCTTGAAGAATCTTGAAACTAATAATGGCAAATGTTGCACAGTCAGGTGTGGAAAGCTCTTAGAAACTTACCCAGAAAGAATCACAGCTGTAATCGCAACCAAAAGGTGATCCTACAAAGTATTGACTCAGGAGTGTGAATACTTATGTAAATGAGATATTTCTGTATTTCATTTGAAAGAAATTTGCAAAAAAATCTAAAAACATGGCTTCTCTTTGTCCTTATGGGGTATTGTGTGTAGATGGGTGAGAGAGAAAAAAATAGATTTGATACATATTGAGTTCAGGCTGTAACACAACAAAATGTGGAATAAGTCAAGAGTATGAATACTTTTTGAAGGCACTGTCTAACCATTGCCAATTGTATTTCAGTCTAAAATCAACATTGCCAAATTAGAATGTGTTCAAATTGATATTTCATAGGTTGAATTGTTCAACAACAGGGCAGCAGCAGTTGGTCTTGTCTGTATTGCCGAGCATGTGAGCTGTGTACGCCTAGTTTACTGGTGTAACAAAGACACCACCCTGTTTTTACCTGATAGCTTTATCATGTTACACACACACAGCCTGCTGTGGTGTGGTGTAGCCTTACAAACCATGATTAGGGTTATTTGGGTGGTGTGGTTTTCCTTAGGCCCACACCAATTATCTCGAGCCAGTTATATGTGTTCATTTTGTTGTGTCACTTCATTCATAAAAGATGATGTGGTGATGGTGTCACTCACACCAACTGTAACAGTATTTTGAACAATTAGGTTAATCAATGAATAATATTCCACTGCTAAAATGGGACTCAGGTGAAATGTGAGACATACTGTACTGTAGGTCTAAAGAGAAATACAGTAGCACATGCAGTTCCAACCCGTGTAGCTCAGTTGGTAGAGCATGGCGTTTGCAACGCCAGGGTTGTGGATTCGTTTCCCACGAGGGACCAGAATGAAAAAAAAAAAAAAACATGTATGCACTCACTAACTGTAAGTCGCTCTGAATAAGAGCGTCTGCTAAATGACTAAAATGTAAAATGTAATGACATGGATACTTCCAATAAGTTTATTGGTGTTAGATGCTTATAATGTCACTGATATCGTACATGGCACAAATTTAATTGACACCACTTTAGGGCATTATGAGGAGAGGCATTTGCTTGTCAAATTGCTTTGTCACAGTTGAGTCATGTGAGTGTCTTGCCCATGCATTGTTAAGACTCTGTAGTAGACTTATGTACAAACAAATAATATGATTCCTTCTACAGGGGCTAAACTATTACAAAGATATTGTATTCATAGAATAGAAAATTATAAAAGCAAAATTAACTTGGCATCCAATATGTGACCTTGTCTCCAACAGCTGTGTATGGCTGGATGGTTTAGTTCCCAAACTTCCCATTCTGATAGGTTACAGAGAAGTGACTAGTCAGATCAAATAAAATAAAATGGTATTGGTCACATACACATATTTAGCATTTATTATTATGTTCTAAACAATAAGGCAATAAAGGTTTTTATTGGTCATCAGTATATTTCTTGATACAGACCTACAGTGCATAGTCATTTATTTATTTTTGTCAATGAACGTGGCAAATATATTTCATGGCTAATGAGATTTAGGAATAATCCAACAGTCATCACCTTCTGACACGCGAGAAACTGTGCATGTGTTTACAAACAGCATATTTTGACACCCTGCTTGGCAAGACAACTACATGCCCCATATCATATGGCGCTCTACTGAATGTCCCGGATATTCCTCGCGCCGGAAGAGAAGAGGTATATTTCCCAGCCATCTTGTGGCAGTATTTAGGGAATTGTTCGCACCCAGTCTCTTAGAATCGGAGGTCAATCCCGCTGAAGGGGCGCCATCATGCCCGGACAACTGCAAGAAGGCTTCGGCTGCGTCGTAACGAATCGGTTTGACCAGCTATTGGACGATGAATCAGATCCGTTCGAGGTGTTAAAGGCTGCGGAGAATAAGAAGAAAGAGGCGGCCGCAGCTGGTATCACCAAGTCTGCAGCCCAAGCCGCCAAGCAGCCCAAGAAAGAGTCACAGAAGGACAGGAAGAATCCGCTCCTTGACAAGAAAGATGAAACTCAGGCTCCAGTACCTCCGAAGAAAGAAGGTAAGGTTCACTCTCACAAATTGGTAATGCGTTTTTTTTTTTTTTCAAAACCTGCAAAAACCTAGCCTGCTTGGTAATAACAGCATGATGAGGGTCAACATGGTTCCTGTCCTGTTGTGATGAATTTAGACGGCAACAGAACCCACTGCAAACATACACATATCCAATGCATGATTATTGGACAGGTTCATCATGCATTGGATATGCACTGTATGTCATCTACCTGTGCACTCAGGCTAACCTGTCGCAGAAATTAATTCCACCTGCAGGATGTGGATAGTTTGTAAATGATGCTCCAGTGGTAGTTGCGCAGTATAATGTGTTTGTCATGAAACAGCTCGAGCTTGGTGGGCATATATTAATTAGATAAGTAGTTATCAACTTATTTCTTAACTGAGTAAAAAGGTAGCTGGCTCGTCTAAGGATTCGCAGGGCATGCTTGCTACGCAGTTAACTAACATTATCTATTCTTCAAAACAACACTGATGCGACTAAATTGTAAAAAATCTCGAGCTTAACTTCAAGGCCCGTGCGTTATCCTGCAAGTGCATAATTAGGTACCTAGCCAACTAATGTCCCATGCTGGTTGTTGTTCCAGCATTTTGGTAGAAACTGGACAACACAAATAAAGCAGTGCAAGTTTGCCATCCTATCTATCTATCTAGTTATTGCATAGTTAGCACTGTTGTTTTCATGTAGCCTATTCAAACGGTTTATGCAGTAAAGCGTTATGACTGTCATTGACAGAGCGTGCAGGCGTTTGTCATCTTTGCAGAAGCTTTTCCATATAAATCATTTTAGCTACTTTTGCTAGCTAGCTAGCTTGCTGAATTAGTAGCTACTAGGATTTCGTCGACATGCATGCCCAGTATTTTTGTAAACAAGTGATCTGGCAAGATGTCCTCAACTACACAAGTATAAATACCATGTCTTAATGCGTTGAAAGAAGGCGTGTCTGCCTTGAGTCAAGAGTGCATGCTGTCAAGGTAATAAACATTAACAAGGCATAGCTAACACTCCACACCAATGAGATGGCTAACCAGCTACTTCTGGCATAACACATTTGCTGACAACTGACCCATATTTCATGTTAAATGCTTAGTTGAAGTTCCTCATGCAATTCGTCTTTAGTCTAGACACCGGTGCATTATAACACTCTTGGTGTTTATTATACTTTTTGGTTACAACATGATGATTTGGCTCCAACACCTTTTATCAGGCCAAAACATGTTTTAATCAAAGGGTATTATTGATTGAAAGAGTGGTGTATGTTCATGGGATTTTTTGCTGCACAGCCCTTTACATTTGTCTCTGTAGTCATCTCTGGCCAGTGCTGAGTGAGTGTCCACCTCTAAAGCCTCCATGTGTTGTTGTGGTGGCAGTTATCAGGCGAGTGGGCCGGAGGCCGGACCAGCAGGGCCAGCCTGGCACCCAGGGCGGGCAGGGGGAAGGGCGGCCCACCGGCGACAGGAGGCCGGACAACAGGAGACCCCCACGCGAGCGTCGCTTCGACAAACCCCTCGAGGACAAACCCGATGGCGGAGAGAGAGGAGAGTTCTCTGCAGACAAGTGAGTAGTTGCTGTAGGAAATAACAATAGTCAGCAATTTTAAAAATGTGTTCATGTAAAGCAAAAAAAAAGGAGTCCAAATTTTAATCACACCTATCCTTGCATGTTTTTTTAAAACTTTCAATAAAGTAGGAGTCATAGTCCTGAGCTGCTCATATCTGCCCTCCTTGATACGGAGTCTGTGTGTGTCCCTCCTCAGGCCTCTAGGAGACCGGCCCCCCAGAGGGCGTGGTGGCACCCGTGGTGGGCGTGGGGGACGGGGACGGGGCATGGGCCGGGGCGACGGCTTCGACTCCCGCGGCAAACGGGACTTCGACAGACACATTGGCGGCGACAAACCGTGAGTCATTTCTGCTCCAAGTCCTCAAAATGTTTTTTGGGGGAAGGGATTTGAGCTTCAGATGCTCTGTGACTAGTGATGGTGGCGCATTTTGGTTTCATGTTTGTCTCAACAGTCAGAAATCTGAGGAGAAGCGCGGCGGGAGTGGCACACACAACCGGGGGAACCCCAAGGACGAAACGAGGTGGGTGTTCAAAAAATCATAACCTATTCCCTTAAATGGAGAGAGAGATCAGACTCATTACATGTATGCAAGGTCATACACAGAGGATGTCCTGGCTTTGTTGATATTGACTGGTTTCTGCTTTTGCCCCTGAGGGGATAAATAAATTGAATTTCTGTTCCCAGTGGTGATGCTGAACAGACTACTGCCCCTGAGGAAACCCCTGAGGGTGAGGAACACCCTCCTGCTGACTCTGAGAATAAGTGAGTACCCTCCTGGACTTGTCCAGTTAACCTCCCCACACACCTCAGTGCAAAACACCCCAGGACTGCTGCTCTTACTGAAACGGGACGACCAACTCCACAACCAACTTTCATTTAATCTTTATTTATACAGGTTAAATCAAATGTTTGCAGTGGAGACCTATTCTTGGAGTTAACATCACTGTACCGGTTCACTATGGTGCTCCATTCATACTGCTTCATGCTGCTTCATTCTGTCTGATCTCAACGTTCAATTCATCACATGGTCCACAACGCAAGCAGCACTACAGTCAATCTAGAAGAAATCTAAAACAACAAACCCAATTTGGAAGCTAACAGAGAATGGCTGGTAATAGCTTGCAGTAACAGATGTGTCTCTGTCTCTTCCAGGGAGAACGAAGTAGAGGAACCTAAGGAGGAGGGCCCCAAGGAGATGACCCTGGACGAATGGAAGGCCATGCAGGACAAGGAGCGTGCCAAGGTGGAGTTCAACATCCGCAAGCCCAATGAGGGCGCCGACAGCAAGTGGAACAAGGGCTACGTGCTGCACAAGTCCAAGAGCGAAGATGTCAGCGACGAAAAGCCTAAAGATGTAAGTGACACGAACTGAGCCAAATGTTTTAAAATTGTTGCTGCTCTATTGCTGTGCAGTGCGCTGTCATGTATATTTTGATGTTTTGCCATTTTATTATTTTCTTTAACCTGTATTAGAGCAACGTATGTGTTGTCTAGATTGAGGATGTGACTGAATCGATTAAATCATTTGTTTTCGTTTTAAAATCTATTTGAAGTCAACATTTACAGATATACTCTACACAAGAAATATTGGTGAATGTTCAGGAAGTGTAGGATTTGCTGTACTGTCGCTTTTCAAGTTTGGAAAGAAGTTCCAATTAGAAAAGTTTGATTCCTATCCACTGATCAATGCTAAAGAAGTATGCACATCTTTTTAAGGTATTGATTAATTGTTGGTCTGTATTTGCTAACAAAAGGGCTGATTATAAACCAGATCGTAATGCATACCTGCTAAAAACCCTCCCCATGAGGCTATGTCATTACAAAAGTGCTTGGTCTTATTGTTGGTCCTTTCTCTTGGATGTTGCAGAGACCAGCTGTGATTGATACTCCAGAGATTGAAGCAGACATGACCCCCCTGTTCAAGGTACCCGTTTCATATATTCAACCATATACAATTCTGATAAAACAAGCCTTTATCTACACATTGGCATAGTAGTTAAATTATGTCAAACAGTAGTTAGCATTTTGGCTATTTGAGTTGTCATGGTTGCATAAGTGGACTCTTGTCTAAATGTACAACTGTAGCTCTGACTAAATGTAAACAGAGTCAAATCTCCTCCATCAGGGAAACCCTGATGAAATCGGGCCGGACCACCACTTCCGCAAGCCCGCCAACGACATCACGGCCCAGCTGGAGATCAACTTTGGAGACCTGTGCCGCCCTGGGCGTGGGCGCGGGGGAGCCCGTGGAGGAAGGGGAGGCCGCGGTGGAGGAGGAGGCCGATCCGACCGTCCGGCTCGGGCCGGGGGAGTTCGACCCGAAAAGGTAACACTGTTGTAACTGACCACAAATAGTTGTAAATAATGATCACAAACGGCTATGGTTACTAGGGCCCTATAAAATCTGTTTTCTTTTTTGCCTGATTCAGTTTTTATTTTTTCCCAAGTTCTGTTTTCCAGGTTTCTGTTTTTCCCAGTTTTTCAGTTTTCCGCTCTCAAAATCACACGTATGTTTTTATTTTAATGTAATGTTTTATTGGATGTTCTGTCCACAACAATGCTTAAACCACATCAAGAGACCACCCTTTGAGGTCTGGGAAAAATATAATAAATGTAGGTTTTTGGGTGTAGTTAAACTTAATGCATGTGAGCACCAGCAAGAGACCGTTGTTTGGTTAGCGATCTTTCTGTAGTGCTCCTGTGATTTCAGAGTTTGCAAAACAAATGGCCACTAGATTGATGCAAATAATCATATCATTCTGCCAAGTAGGCATAGGGTACTTTGTAGTTAACATTTAATTGAGACGGTTTTTGGGAAAGCCTTTCCATCTCTTCCAGAAGGTTATCATAAGCATCATCGCTAACGGCTACACAAAGTGTAGACATACGTGCACAACGCACACACAGACAGGAGCATTCCTGTGCTGTTTCAAAGTTGCAGGAAAATACGAATCACTAACGCATTTTGTTCATGTCTTATGATTAACTTGGGCAAATGTAATGCATTTCTGAATAAGTTGAATACATTTAGTTGATTTCCTACTAAATTCATTACATTTCTGAATATCGTTTTCCGTTTTCATGTCTGGATTCCGTCCACGTTCTCCGCAACGCGGCTTTTATAGGGCCCTAGGTTACTGACCACAGAAAGCTGTTTTTCACTGACCACAAAGTCAAATGATGTGCTGAAGTTGACTGTAATTATTGTTTTGAGCTGTCTCCCAACTGCAAAAAAATGTCTCCCTACTGAACATGACCCAGTATTCTCTGAGCTCTTATAAATTCATTATTTTTCTCTCTGTCTTGGTCCCCAGCCGGGTGGATTGTCTGTTCCCAACGTTGACGACCCAGAGGCCTTCCCGGCCCTGGCCTAAGACTTCAGCACCGCCACTAGCCCGCCCCGTCAGCGCCTCTGGCCACTGAGGCTTGCATGCTTACAACTTCTTCAAGTATATGAGAGAAAAAAAAAGAAAACGATTTTAACGACGAAAAGAAGACAGTCATCCATACCATTCACACCGGAGGACTGAAATTTTAACCTGTTTTGAAAGGACTGATAAAAAGACCAAAAAAAAGAGGAAAAATGACTTCTCTTGTTACACTGAAGCAAGTTATTGGTAGAAGTTTTGTATTTAGAGACATGATAGCAGGGATGTTTTCATACATTATTTGTTTTTTTTTCAGAGAATATGCATATATACTTCATGGATATTTTTTTGTATTGCTGCTTGAATATATGCATTTCCAAGATAGAGGTTGAAGAGTGCGTGTGTGTCTATTTCCCCCGCGAGGCTCTGGCTGGCTTTCCTCAAGACTTTACCTGAATATTTTGGGGTAATCTTAGACAAGCTTTTATTTTGAAGGGGTGACTTTTAAGTCATGAATTACTCAGATGTTAAACGTACAATACATTTTAGTACCTTTGTACTAAATCTATGAACTGTGTTTTTAAAAGTCTAGTGACTCCTTACGCTTAATATGTTTCTGCTTGTCATGCAGTGAAAGTTGATGCCTCCGGTTTCCTTTTTGGTTTCCTTTTATTTTCCTATTGATAGCTTGGCTCTTATGTTTCTGGTGGACCAGTGGTTGGTGTGCTTTATCCCTGGTCCAGATGTTACTACCTGTGTCTTTAGGGCAGCCATGGCCCAAATGTGTTTCTAGGCTGGTCCTTGTAGGTCGTACAGGCTATACTATTAGTAACCTTAGGACCACTATGCGAATATATTGTATTTTTGTGTGTGTGTGTGTGAGTGATTGGGTTGAGTGTGAATGTGAACAATAGTTACTTAAACACTTGAAGTACTCCCCTGCCACGAACTTGACATTCTCCAGGAACTTGACCACAAGTTCAAAGCAGCTCAGTTTGGCCTGAGGTAGTTTTTATTTCTGAGAACATATTTGTTTCTATCTAGGTAAGATAGTGGACTGTGGACATATCTTGCACTTGGAGTATTTGATAAATGTAGTATTCATAGTCCTAGCTTTTAGAGTTTGGAAAGAACATGTTCCTATCTGCACCAGAACTCTGAAGTGAAGCGTGTTAGTTTTTTCCCCTCTTGTGATCATATTTGCTGTTATTTTTGTGTTATTTTGTTATTACTACAGCAGCACTACTGCATAATTTGTCTGAATGAAGTGGGCCGTTCAATGTGGAGCAATCGAGTGCTACAGAATCTATGACTGCTAATCGTGCTTATAGTCATCTGTGTCTTGCATTTCCAGGCAAGGTTTTATTGCCCCGTGTAGCTCAGTTGGTAGAGTATGGCGTTTGCAACGCCAGGGTTGTGGGTTCGATTCCCACGGGGGGCCAGGATGAAAAATGTATGCACTCACCAACTGTAAGTCGCTCTGGATAAGAGCGTCTGCTAAATGACTAAAATGTAAATGTAAAATGTACCGAAGTAGGTATACTTCACACATTGGGTTTGGGGAAGGGGTAAATTAAATATTTTAAGTGACTGAAAGCTTTATATTCCAATGCTCTGGAAAGACTTGCTGGTAATACAGGGACACAGGTGACTGGAGCAAACCTTTTGTAGGACTGTTTGAGCCACTTGACGGTAGACTTTTCTGCAAACATCCCTGTTCTAATAAATTGCTTAGAAGTGTTAAATGTATTCTGCCCCCGGCAGTGAGTTGTGTGAGATCATTACTGTGACTTTAAAAAAGAAAAAAGAACTGACTCTTTAAAAAAAAATTGCTTTTCTATATGCAAGCTGTGTGATTTTTTTTTTTTTTGGGGGGGGTGTTATTTCAATGTGATGTCGTCAGATTGATAGGACTGCTGATGTCAGCAGATTACATTGTCAACACTGAGAAGTTGTGTTTTAGGTTATATCCAGATAAGACATTTTAAAGGCCCAGTGCAGTCAATGTGATTTTCCTGTGTTTTTATTACTTCATACTGAGGTTGGAATAATACTGTGAAGTTGTGAAAATGATGATAATGCCCTTTTAGTGTAAGAGCGGTTTCAAAAGACAACTGACATTTCTGCCTGTTTTGGTGGGATGGAGTTTTGGCCTGCCTGGTGACATCACCAGGCGGTAAATTAGTTTAGACCAATAAGAAAGAGTTCCAAACCTCTCTGCCAATAACAGCTAGTTTTCAGTTTTCCCCTCCCAGCTCAGACCACTCCCAGACAGTACTAACAAAATTCTTGCTTGAGAAATTGCTCTTTGCTAAGAAGCTATTTTTGTTTATTTTTAACAATTTTAGTTAAACAATCACAGTAAGGTACTTAATTGTTACCCAGTAATGATTTGATATTGAGATAAAACGGCTGCATTGGACCTTTAAAATTTGATAAAGGATTCAGGTGTTATACTAATACTATTGGAAATCCACAACACACACAAGATGATGCCAACCATAGATTAAATAAATGTTCAATTTCTTATGCCAGACAGGCTTTCCTTATAACATGGGATATTGATATGAAAACCTGGTTTTAATGTCTATGATGAAAATATGGGTGTGGGCGCGTTCGAGCTGATCATTTTTGTCAAGTCGTCGACCATTGTTGGTCACCGCTTTTCAAAGTGTGTCGCATTATGGTTATAAAAATTGTCCAACTTGCGACTACATGTCAACTGCATCAACTTTACAAAAATCATGTGATCAGCCCCCCCGTGCACGTTTTGGTTTTTGCCCTAGGCCTACACAGCTAACTCAAATAATCAAAGCTTGATGATGAGTTGGTTATTTGAATCAGCTGTGTAGTGCTAGGGCAAAAACAAAAATGTGCACCCGGGGGGAGTTTGAGAAACTCTGCTCTAACCAATGAATTGTACACACATTTCCAGTTTGTGAGTGTGATATGGGGGGTATACATTTTTTTATTTATACAGACAAACATTTATAAACATTAGCAGCTATGTTGACACTGCCATGTTGATCTGAGCCTTGCTGTTGGAAAACCACTACAGTGTCGGGACTTTCGGCTGTTGCAGATGCACGTCCACCGACTTCACTCCTCAACTTTCGTCTCCAGTCGGTTGCTTTCGCCTTACCACTCAAACGCGCCCACTGTATTAATCTACATTCTGGCTATCTAGGTTTCTCAACTCCACAATTTTTACATCTAGGTGGAGTTGGGTTGCGAAGACTGTGGGCGGGTGGAGTGTACCTCCGACTACATCGAGTCACTGTCAGTCGATTTGAGATAACAGTCGGTGGTTGTATTTAAGGAAAGTTTTATAAAAAATTGTTGATTTCAGCAAACAGAAAGGCATGCAGCTACAGAGGACAAACATAGGTACACTTAACGGTTTAAGAATTTACATTTACAAGTATCAACTAACAGCTACTCAATGTTCAGTCCTCCCACAGTCATCTCTGCTCAACTCCATTGATGTGAAGTACATTTTGGAGTTGAGAACAATTTGGGTACATTCTGGCATGATACATTGTAGCAATGGGCACATTCGAGCGGATTACTTTTGACAAGTCATTGACCATTGTTGGTCACCGCCCTTCAAAGTGTGTTGCATTATGGTTGTAAAAATTGTCCGACTTGCAACCATGTCAACTGCATGAACTTTACAAAAATCATGTGATCAGAGGTCATGCAGTTGTTGATGAAGTCGCCTTCTAGTCGCTGCAGTTGCTTCTCACCAACTGCACTATGCAGCTGTAACCGGTGTGAAATGGCTAGCTAGTTAGCGGTGCGCGCTAGTAGTGTTTCAATCGGTGACATCACTCGCTCTGAGACCTTGAAGGAGTTGTTTCCCTTTCTATGCAAGGGCTGCTGCTTTTGTGGATTGATGGGTAATGGTGCTTAGAGGGTGACTGTTGCCGATGTGTGCAGATGGTCCCTGGTTCAAGTCCAGGTAGGGGCGAGGAGAGGGATGGAAGTAACACTGTTATGCAGTTATCACCTGCATTGTGGGAGGCCCTATTTGTCAACCAATTTATTTTTATTTATTTTTTGGACCGACATGAATGTGTCCAAATACGTGACTGAAACAGGAACTAATTTTGTTCAATTCTAAAGCTACAGGGGATACAAATGAAAAGTGATATTTGAGACCTCTCTCTAACCAATGATTTGTACACACATTGTTTCCAGTTTGTGAATGTGTGATATGGGGTTATAGAAAAGTTTATTTTGACATTTATACAGACATACTTTTATAAACAATAGCAGCTATGTTAACAGTGGCATGTTGATCTGTGCCTTGCTGTTGGAAAACAACTACAGTTTCCGACTTCAGCTGTCGCAGATGCTTCTCGGTCGGTTTGTCTACTGTCGGTTGCTCTCGCCTTACCACTCAAACGAGCCCAATGTTTATCACCCAGGCACTGGAAGACAACCCCTCTGAAATCATCATGACGTAGCATTTAGTGAATTATGGCGAAAGTTAGGAAACGTCAACATGTGCAAGTTGAAGGGAAAACCTCGGATAAAAGCTCAGTATCCAAGAATGACAGTAAAGGGATGACGAGCGGGAGATCAGACGTGTTTCTGAAGCTTTTCGCTGCCGGATTTTACGGGCTGAGCTCGTTTCTAATCGTTGTTGTGAACAAAAGCGTCCTCACCAGTTACAGGTATGCCTACAGTAGTCTATGCATGGGCAGTTCGTTGGACTTTGGACACTAATGACAGTGCTAAACACAGAGTGGGGTTGTTTGGTTACTCGGTCTCGGGGTACCAACATCAATGTAGCTGAATGTGGTGTGGCATAAAGCTGTTTTACACACACTTTAATCGTATTAAACATTATCTAAATGTTTTTGCTGACCACAGATTTATGTAGAAAAACACTGACTGCTTTGAATGTCAAATTGTGATTACAGCTTTTTTATTCAGGGTAAAATAAGAATGTTTTATTGCCAAATTACTGCCTTTATTCCTACATGGTATTATAAGTCTATGGGAATTTTCACTGATACTGGCCATAATAGTTATGATAGGAGCCTACTTTGTCATACTGTATGCATTTGCTGAAGTCACATCATTTAATAACTTTTGTTTGCAGATTCCCCTCATCAACATGTGTTGGGATCGGTCAAGTAAGAATGCTCTTCATGAGTTACATCAATTGAAGAGTTGCTTATAAAAGAGCCATTTTATATATATATATAATATAACATTTATTACAATATATATATATATTTTTTTTTCAGATGCTGGCTACAATACTAGTACTAGGAGCTGCAAAGGCAATAGGTGTTATCAAATTTCCATGTTTGGACAGGAGCATCCCAAACAAGGTTACACAATGATTCCTTTCTATATCCGCAGCATACTATTATAATCTATTGTACATCATCTATGTACATTTTGTTGCTAAGTTTCCAAATGCAACATAATTCAATGACACATCATTCAAGCTGAAGGGAGCTCAATTTCACAGTTTAAATGGCCCTTCTGTTGCTTTAAATTACATACAACCTAATGTACAAAACAGTAATTGGTGGAAATGAAAGTGGGCGGTACATAGCCTCAAGCTGTATTTTGTTTTCCTCACAGAGACCCTCTCAGAAACAGATAAACAATGGTTTCTCTCAGAGTGGAATGTACAGTGGGGAAAAAAAGTATTTAGTCAGCCACCAAATGTGCAAGTTCTCCCACTTAAAAAGATGAGAGAGGCATGTCATTTTCATCATAGGTACACGTCAACTATGACAGACAAATTGAGGGAAAAAAATCCAGAAAATCACATTGTAGGATTTTTTATGAATTTATTTGCAAATTATGGTGGAAAATAAGTATTTGGTCACCTACAAACAAGCAAGATTTCTGGCTCTCACAGACCTGTAACTTCTTCTTTAAGAGGCTCCTCTGTCCTCCACTCGTTACCTGTATTAATGGCACCTGTTTGAACTTGTTATCAGTATAAAAGACACCTGTCCACAACCTCAAACAGTCACACTCCAAACTCCACTATGGCCAAGACCAAAGAGCTGTCAAAGGACACCAGAAACAAAATTGTAGACCTGCACCAGGCTGGGAAGACTGAATCTGCAATAGGTAAGCAGCTTGGTTTGAAGAAATCAACTGTGGGAGCAATTATTAGGAAATGGAAGACATACAAGACCACTGATAATCTCCCTCGATCTGGGGCTCCATGCAAGATCTCACCCCGTGGGGTCAAAATGATCACAAGAACGGTGAGCAAAAATCCCAGAACCACACGGGGGGACCTAGTGAATGACCTGCAGAGAGCTGGGACCAAAGTAACAAAGCCTACCATCAGTAACACACTACGCCGCCAGGGACTCAAATCCTGCAGTGCCAGACGTGTCCCCCTGCTTAAGCCAGTACATGTCCAGGCCCGTCTGAAGTTTGCTAGAGTGCATTTGGATGATCCAGAAGAGGATTGGGAGAATGTCATATGGTCAGATGAAACCAAAATATAACTTTTTGGTAAAAACTCAACTCGTCGTGTTTGGAGGACAAAGAATGCTGAGTTGCATCCAAAGAACACCATACCTACTGTGAAGGATGGGGGTGGAAACATCATGCTTTGGGGCTGTTTTTCTGCAAAGGGACCAGGACGACTGATCCGTGTAAAGGAAAGAATGAATGGGGCCATGTATCGTGAGATTTTTAGTGAAAACCTCCTTCCATCAGCAAGGGCATTGAAGATGAAACGTGGCTGGGTCTTTCAGCATGACAATGATCCCAAACACACCGCCCGGGCAACGAAGGAGTGGCTTCGTAAGAAGCATTTCAAGGTCCTGGAGTGGCCTAGCCAGTCTCCAGATCTCAACCCCATAGAAAATCTTTGGAGGGAGTTGAAAGTCCGTGTTGCCCAGCGACAGCCCCAAAACATCACTGCTCTAGAGGAGATCTGCATGGAGGAATGGGCCAAAATACCAGCAACAGTGTGTGAAAACCTTGTGAAGACTTACAGAAAACGTTTGACCTGTGTCATTGCCAACAAAGGGTATATAACAAAGTATTGAGAAACTTTTGTTATTGACCAAATACTTATTTTCCACCATAATTTGCAAATAAATTCATTAAAAATCCTACAATGTGATTTTCTGGATATTTTTTTCTCATTTTGTCTGTCATAGTTGACGTGTACCTATGATGAAAATTACAGGCCTCTCTCATCTTTTTAAGTGGGAGAACTTGCACAATTGGTGGCTGACTAAATACTTTTTTTCCCCACTGTATACTGAGTCTTGCATCAGACAATGGAAACAGTGTTCCTGTTTCAACATGATGAACTACTGTGTCTATAGTAGACTTTTATTCTGTCTTTTCAGATGTTTCCCCTACCTCTTCTGTATGTTGGGAATCAGGTATCAGGACTTCTAGGAACCAAAAGACTCAAGTATGACCTCTTTCTTCTTCATTGACCCTGATAGAATATTCACCACTTTATTTCTATGATATGAAGCATAAGAGTGATTCCTCACGAAATCAGGATAAAAAAGGCCATGATTTGGGGGATTTTTACGACATTGAATCCATAGAATAGTCCTTTGAATAGTTTTCAGTGGATGGCTGAAAACGTTTTACTTTTAAACTCGGACAAAACAGAGATGCTTGTTCTAGGTCCCAAGAAACAAAGAGATCTTCTGTTAAATCTGACAATTCATCTTGATGGTTGTAAAGTCGTCTCAAATAAAACTGTGAAGGACCTCGGCGTTACTCTTGACCCTGATCTCTCTTTTGACGAACATATCAAGACTGTTTCAAGGACAGCTTTTTTCCATCTACGTAACATTGCAAAAATCAGAAATTTTCTGTCCAAAAATGATGCAGAAAAATTAATCCATGCATTTGTTACTTCTAGGTTAGACTACTGCAATGCTCTATTTTCCGGCTACCCGGATAAAGCACTAAATAAACTTCAGTTAGTGCTAAATACGGCTGCTAGAATCCTGACTAGAACCAAGAAATTTGATCATATTACTCCAGTGCTAGCTTCCCTACACTGGCTTCCTGTTAAGGCAAGGGCTGATTTCAAGGTTTTACTGTTAACCTATAAAGCGTTACATGGGCTTGCTCCTACCTATCTTTCCGAGTTGGTCCTGCCGTACATACCAATACGTACGCTACGGTCACAAGACGCAGGCCTCCTAATTGTCCCTAGAATTTCTAAGCAAACAGCGGGAGGCAGGGCTTTCTCCTATAGATCTCCATTTTTATGGAACAGTCTGCCTACCCATGTGAGAGACGCAGACTCGGTCTCAACCTTTAAGTCTTTACTGAAGACTTATCTCTTCAGTAGGTCATATGATTGAGTGTAGTCTGGCCCAGGAGTGTGAAGGTGAACGGAAAGGCTGGAGCAACGAACAGCCCTTGCTGTCTCTGCCAGGCCGGTTCCCCTCTCCACTGGGGTTCTCTGCCTCTAACCCTGTTGCAGGGGCTGAGTCACTGGCTTGCTGGTGCTCTTTCATGCCGTCCCTGGGAGGGGTGCGTCACTTGAGTGGGTTGAGTTACTGACGTGATCTTCCTGTCTGGGTTGGCGCCCCCCCCCTTGGTTTGTGCTGTGGTGGAGACCTCTGTGGGCTATACTCGGCCTTGTCTCAGGATTGTAAGTTGGTGGTTGGGGATATCCCTCTAGTGGTGCGGGGGCTGTGCTTTGGCGGAGTGGGTGGGGTTATATCCTTCCTGTTTGGCCCTGTCCGGGGGTTTCTTCGGATGGGGCCACAGTGTCTCCGGACCGCTCCTGTCTCAGCCTCCAGTATTTATGCTGCAGTAGTTTATGTGTCGGGGGGCTGGGGTTAGTTGGTTATACCTGGAGTACTTCTCCTGTCTTATCCAGTGTCCTGTGTGAATTTAAGTATGCTCTCTCTAATTCTCTCGTTCTCTCTTTCTCTCTGAGAACCTGAGCCCTAGGACCATACGTCAGGACTACCGGGCATGATGACACCTTGCTGTCCCCAGTCCGCCTGGCCTTGCTGCTATTCCAGTTTCAACTGTTCTGCCTGCGGCTACGAAACCCCTACCTGTCCCAGACCTGCTGTTTTCAACTCTTAATGATCGGCTATGAAAAGCCAACTGAGAGACCTGAGCCCTAGGACCATACGTCGGGACTACCGGCCGTGGTGACTCCTTGCTGTCCCCAGTCCGCCTGGCCTTGCTGCTATTCCAGTTTCAACTGTTCTGCCTGCGGTTATGGAACCCCTACCTGTCCCAGACCTGCTGTTTTCAACTCTTAATGATCGGCTATGAAAAGCCAACTGAGATTTATTCCTGATTATTATTTGACCATGCTTGTCACTTATGAACATTTTTGAACATCTTGGCATGGTTCTGTTATAATCTCCACCCGGCACAGCCAGAAGAGGACTGGCCACCCCTCATAGCCTGGTTCCTCTCTAGGTTTCTTCCTAGGTTTTCGCCTTTCTAGGGAGTTTTTCCTAGCCACCGTGCTTCTACACCTGCATTACTAGCTGTTTGGGGTTTTAGGCTGGGTTTCTGTACAGCACTTCGAGATATTAGCTGATGTAAGAAGGGCTATATAAAATAAAATTGATTGATTGATTGATTGTAGGAAAGATTGTTGACATATATTTGACATTTGTATCTAAAAGCATATTTGAGAAGTAATTAATCAAAGTTGGCATACAGTATTTATTACATTTTGGCCTTACCCAGGCCTCCTGTAAGACGCCATAATGTTTCATCTGTAGGTGCTACATTTACATTACATTTTTAGTCATTTAGCAGACGCTCTTATCCAGAGTGACTAACAGTTAGTGAATGCATAAATTTTTTTATTTTTTTCATACTGGCCCCCCGTGGGAAACGAACCCACATCCCTGCCGGCCAAACCCTCCCCTACCTTCGACGACGCTGGACCAATTGTAAACCGCCCATGGATCTCCCGGTTGCGGCCGGCTGCGACAGAGCCTGGACTCGAACCGGGATCTCTAGTGGCACAGCTAGCACTGCGATGCAGTGCCTTAGACCACTACGCCACTCGGTTTCATATTAAGCTTTTTCCACTTGCTCTATTTAATGAGTAGTATTTTGATTTCAATAGCATTTTTTGACATTAATTAACGAATATAAAAATATAAACATGAATATTGAAAAAACTGTTTTGGATTTGGCATATTTTTCAATATATTGTTGAACATAATAAACTCTATGGGCATATCACAGTTCCAGAGTGGGATCTCTGCTAGTTTTAAAGTTGTGGCCCATTTTATACAGAGAAATTGGCATAGTAGGCAATGTAACCAATCACAGCCCTCCTTTTACTTGTATCATTGCACATCCTGCAAATCACCAGCAGAGGATGACCGTTTTGAATCCATTTTCACATTCACTCTGTTGGTAATGCTTACAAATTGGATCATATGAAGAAAAAAAAATGTATGCACTCGGGTCTTCGCCAGGTTCCGCTCACATAGGCTACACAAAGCGGAATAGCGAGAGATAACCGTTTTAGAGCGCTGGAGGTGGGATGAATAGAGCAGCCATTTGTGCATAGTGGCTCCCAGCATAATCTCGACAGACCGACCGAATGAGAGAGGCGTAGCCCCGACAGCCTAGTTTAAGCCTGTTTCAGTGGGCGGTCGCCCCATATTGAGGCTCGTTGCCATAAACTAGCCTACCAAAATTGTACAATGCACCAAAGAGATTTAATAGCCTAATGATAAAGTACGGCCTGGGCACTCACTAACTGTAAGTCGCTCTGGATAAGAGCGTCTGCTAAATGACTAAAATGTTTTTTTTAAATGTAAATAACTCTAAAAGTAGCTCTGGAACTTTGATATGCCATATTACAGAGCAGGTGCCAATGTTTGCTTTGTAGCACCTACATATTAGTGTCTTAAAGGAGGCCTGGGTAAGACCAAAATGTAATAAATAGGCCAACTTTGATCAATTATTTCTCAATTATGCCGTTAGATACAAATGTCAAATATATCATATGTCAACAATACTTCCTCCAAATGACCATTCTATGGATTTAAATGAGTGAAAATCCCAATAATCATGGTCTTTTTCTGTCCTGGTTTCATGAGGAATCACTCATAAAGAACACAGTGGTATGATTGTATATATCCTTTTTTCCCTTCCAGTCTACCCATGTTTACGGTTTTAAGAAGATTCTCTATTTTGTTAACCATGTTGGCTGAGGGAATCCTACTGAAGTAAGTTCTCTTCAAATATTAGAAACCCAATATTTGAAATTTCAAAATAAGATTACATTAGATTTTTCATTGGGTGAATAACGTGTTTCATTCCCCACAGAAAGACATTCTCTGGGCCTATCAAGGCAACAGTGTTTGCCATGATCTTTGGAGCCTTTGTAGCTGCAAGGTAATAATTTTACTTGCTTGCTTGCTCATAGGGTGTCTAGGCCAGGTTGCTTTAAGCAGATGTCTCGCCCGGCAGGTTCAGTTTGTTACCATTGCAAAGTCTAGTACAGTGAGGGAAAAAAGTATTTGATCCCCTGCTGATTTTGTATGTTTGCCCACTGACAAAGATATGATCAGTCTATAATTTTAATGGTAGGTTTATTTGAACAGTGAGAGACAGAATAACAACAACAAAATCCAGAAAAACGCATGTCAAAAATGTTATAAATTGATTTGCATTTTAATGAGGGAAATAAGTATTTGACCCCTCTGCAAAATATGACTTAGTACTTGGTGGCAAAACCCTTGTTGGCAATCACAGAGGTCAGATGTTTCTTGTAGTTGGCCACCAGGTTTGCACACATCTCAGGAGGGATTTTGTCCCACTCCTCTTTGCAGATCTTCTCCAAGTCATTAAGGTTTCGAGCCTGACGTTTGGCAACTCGAACCTTCAGCTCCCTCCACAGATTTTCTATGGGATTAAGGTCTGGAGACTGGCTAGGCCACTCCAGGACCTTAATATGCTTCTTCTTGAGCCACTCCTTTGTTGCCTTGGCCGTGTGTTTTGGGTCATTGTCATGCTGGAATACCCATCCACGACCCATTTTCAATGTCCTGGCTGAGGGAAGGAGGTTCTCACCCAAGATTTGACGGTACATGGCCCTGTCCATCGTCCCTTTGATGCGGTGAAGTTGTCCTGTCCCCTTAGCAGAAAAACACCCCCAAAGCATAATGTTTCCACCTCCATGTTTGACGGTGGGGATGGTGTTCTTGGGGTCATAGGCAGCATTCCTCCTCCAAACACGGCGAGTTGAGTTGATGCCAAAGAGCTCAATTTTGGTCTCATCTGACCACAACACTTTCACCCAGTTCTCCTCTGAATCATTCAGATGTTCATTGGCAAACTTCAGACGGCCCTGTATATGTGCTTTCTTGAGCAGGGGGACCTTGCGGGCGCTGCAGGATTTCAGTCCTTCACGGCGTGCTACCAATGTGCTACCAATTTTCTTCTTGGTTACTATGGTCCCAGCTGCCTTGAGATCATTGACAAGATCCTCCCGTGTAGTTCTGGGCTGATTCCTCACCGTTTTCATGATCATTGCAACTCCACGAGGTGAGATCTTGCATGGAGCCCCAGGCCGAGGGAGATTGACCGTTCTTTTGTGTTTCTTCCATTTGCGAATAATCGCACCAACTGTTGTCACCTTCTCACCAAGCTGCTTGGCGATGGTCTTGTAGCCCATTCCAGCCTTGTGTAGGTCTACAATCTTGTCCCTGACATCCTTGGAGAGCTCTTTGGTCTTGGCCATGGTGGAGAGTTTGGAATCTGATTGATTGATTGCTTCTGTGGACAGGTGTCTTTTATACAGGTAACAAGATGAGATTAGGAGCACTCCCTTTAAGAGTGTGCTCCTAATCTCAGCTCGTTACCTGTATAAAAGACACCTGGGAGCCAGAAATCTTTCTGATTGAAAGGGGGTCAAATACTTAGTTCCCTCATTAAAATGCAAATCAATTTATAACATTTTTGACATGCGTTTTTCTGGATTTTTTTGTTGTTATTCTGTCTCTCACTGTTCAAATAAACCTACCATTAAAATTATAGACTGATCATTTCTTTGTCAGTGGGCAAACGTACAAAATCAGCAGGGGATCAAATACTTTTTTCCCTCACTGTATATAGTTAAACTGTTGAAAAGGGAATTGTCCCCATTAGTGTGGAAATACATGACAAAAAAAAAACATCTCTCACTTGGTAAAAATCTCTGTCTGTTACAGCACTGATTTGGCCTTTGATCTTCAAGGTTATTTTTTCATAATGCTCAACAATGTTCTGACTGCAGCCAATGGGGCCTATGTGAAGCAGAAACTTGACTCCAAGGTAAGTGGATATGTGCCAACAGTTTTTTCCTGTGTATTTGTATTACAGCATAATAAAAGACAGGGAGAGGCCACCTCACTATATATTTACAATACAGTACAGGTACTCATGTTACATGATGTTTTATGTTATGTGTGCACCCGATTGAGACAATGCATGACTTCTGTACTGTATATCTATAAACAATGTGGTCCAGTGTGTCCACACACATATTGATATAAAAACAGACTTGGACAACACATTCCATATCGATTTGATACCCTCAGCCCCTTTGGGTCTCACCATTGAAGTATTGCCATTGTGTGTTGTGTTAATGTTTTTTCCCTACCTGTATCTATGTATTCATAGGAGCTCGGCAAATATGGGCTGTTGTACTACAACGCTTTATTTATGATCATCCCTACAGTGGCATATGCACATTTCGCCGGGGATCTACAAATGGTAAGAGGTCGTTGTGGGTGTTTGTGTGCGTTGCACACCATGTTTGTGCATAACTGTTATGTGCTGTGAAAAACATCTACTGGCTATTGTTGTCACCATTTAACTGAACCCACGTTTGTGGTGTTGCTTCTCCTGTTTCTATCCAAGGCATTGGAGTTTGAAGGGTGGTCGGACATGCTGTTTTTGTTCCAGTTTGTGCTTTCCTGTGTTCTGGGGTGAGGGTATTGATATTTTCATCATATCATGTTTCATATACTGTAGACAAATGTGCTGATAATGTTAGTATCTTTGACAATGTATACCTGGTATAAGATTTCACTCCGATAATGAATAATGGTCTGGGACAAGTGATTCGTTGTACAATCGTTTTAATATTGTGCAATGTATTCCTTGCATAAGCATTTACAGTACCAGTCAAAAGTTTGGACACCTACTCATTCCGGGGTTTTTCTTTATTTTTACTATTTTCTACATTGTAGAATAATAGTGAAGACTTCAAAACTATGATATAACACATATGGAATCATGTAGTAACCAAAAAAGTGTTAAACAAATAAAAATATATTTTATATTTGAGATTCTTCAAAGTAGCCACCTTTTGCCTTGATGACAGCTTTGCACACTCTTGGCATTCTCTCAACCAGCTTTATGAGGTAGTCAACTGGAATGCATTTTCAATTAACAGGTGTGCCTTGTTATAAGTTAATTTGTGGAATTTCTTTCCTTCTTAATGCGTTTGAGCCAATCAGTTGTGTTGTGACAAGGTAGGGGTGGTATACAGAAGATAGTCCTATTTGGTAAAAGACCAAGTTCATATTATGGCAAGAACAGCTCAAATAAGCAAAGAGAAACGACAGTCCATTATTACTTTAAGATATGAAGGTCAGTCGATCCGGAAAATGTCAAGAACTTTGAAAGTTTCTTCAAGTGGAGTCGCAAAAACCATCAAGCGCTATGATGAAACTGCCTCATGAGGACCGCCACAGGAAAGGAAGACCCAGAGAAACCTCTGCTGCAGAGGATAAATTCATTAGAGTTAACTGCACCTCAGATTGCAGCCCAAATAAATGTTTAACAGAGTTCAAGTAACAGACACATCTCAACATCAACTGTTCAGAGGAGACTGCGTGAATCAGGCCTTCATGGTCGAATTGCTGCAAAGAAACCTACTACTAAAGGACACCAATAAGAAGAAGAGACTTGCTTGGGCCAAGAAACATTAGACCGTTGGAAATCTGTCCTTTGGTCTGATGAGTCCAAATTTGAGATTTTTGGTTCCAACCGCTGTGTCTTTGTGAGACGCAGAGTAGATAAGATCTGGTGCAACCAATTACCTTCAGAAGTCACATAATTAATTAAATAAAGTCCACCTGTGTGCAATCTAAGTGTCACATGATCTGTCACATGATCTCAGTATATATACACCTGTTCTGAAAGGCCCCAGAGTCTGCAACACCACTAAGCAAGGGGCACCACCAAGCAAGCGGCACCATGAAGACCAAGGAGCTCTCCAAACAGATCAGGGACAAAGTTGTGGAGCAGTACAGATAAGGGTTGGGTTATAAAAAAATATCCGAAACTTTGAACATCCCACGGAGCACCATTAAATCCATTATTAAGAAATTGAAAGAATATGGCACCACAACAAACTTGCCAAGAGAGGGCCGCCCACCAAAACTCACAGACCAGGCAAGGAGGGCATTAATCAGAGAGGCAACAAAGAGACCAAAGATAACCCTGAAGGAGCTGCAAAGCTCCACAGCGGAGATTGGAGTATCTGTCCATAGGACCACATTAAGCCGTACACTCCACAGAGCTGGGCTTTACGGAACAGTGGCCAGAAAAAAATAAGCAAACACGTTTGGTGTTCGCCAAAAGCCATGTGGGAGACTCCCCAAACATATGGAAGAAGGCTAAAATTGAGCTTTCTGGCCATCAAGGAGAACGCTATGTCTGGCGCAAACCCAACACCTCTCATCACCCCGAGAACACCATCCCAACAGTGAAGCATGGTGGTGGCAACATCATGCTGTGGGGATGTTTTTCATCAGCAGGGACTGGGTAACTGGTCAGAATTGAAGGAATGATGGATGGCGCTAAATACAGGGAAATTCTTGAGGGAAACCTGTTTCAGTCTTCCAGAGATTTGAGTCTGGGACGGAGGTTCACCTTCCAACAGGACAATGACCCTAAGCATACTGCTAAAGCAACAATTGAGTGGTTTATGGGGAAACATTTAAATGTCTTGGAATGGCCTAGTCAAAGCCCAGACCTCAATCTGGGGGGGGGGGGGGGTGAATAGTTATGCACGCTCAAGTTTTCTGTTTTTTTTGTCTTATTTCTTGTTTGTTTCACATGAAAAAATATTTTGCATATTCAAAGTGGTAGGCATGTTGTGTGAATCAAATTATACAAACCCCCCAAAAATCAATTTTAATTCCAGGTTGAAAGGCAACAAAATAGGAAAAATGCCAAGGGGGGTGAATACTTTTGCAAGCCACTGTATTTAGAATTCAAGGCACACTTAACCAGCATGGCTACCACAGCATTCTGCAGCGATACGCCATCCCATCTGGTTTGCGCTTAGTGGGACTATCATTTGTTTTTCAACAGGACAATGACCCAAAACACCTCCAGGCTGTGTAAGGGCTATTTGACCAAGAAGGAGAGTGATGGAGTGCATCAGATGACCTGGCCTCCACAGTCCCCCGACCTCAACCCAATTGAGATGGTTTGGGATGAATTGGACCGCAGAGTGAAGGAAAAGCAGCCAACAAGTGCTCAGCATATGTGGGAACACCTTCAAGACTGTTGGAAAAGCATTCCTCATGAAGTTGGTTGAGAGAATGCCAAGAGTGTGCAAAGCTGTCATCAAGGCAAAGTGGCTTCTTTGAAGAATCTCAAATATAACATATTTTGATTTGTTTAACACTTTTTTGGTTACTACATGATTCCATATGTTTTATTTCAGAGTTTTGATCTCTTCACTATTATTCTACAATGCAGAAAATAGTAAAAATAAAGAAAAACTCTCGAATGAGTAGGTGTGTCCAAACCTTTGACTGGTACTGTAGGTGGACAATTTGGTTGTCATAGAAGAGTTTCTAGAAGCCTCACAACAACATTGTCAACCACAATTAGTGTCAACATTTCTTCTGAATCAAATGTAGTCAAATGATTGTTTAATAAGATATCATATATGGATGATTAATTCCTAACATCTTTTGTTCTCTGTTTTGGCAGCTTTGTTTTAATGTACTCCATTGTGCTTTGCACTCAGCACAACTCGGCATTGACCACCACCATAGTGGGCTGTATTAAAGTAAGCCATCACTAAGTCGTTTTTATCATTGCAACCCAAACACTTACAGCATTTACATTGTTATACACTGTCGTGACTAAAGTATTGACCGCTGTTTTACTTCCTTCCACAGAATATTTTAGTCACGTACCTTGGAATGGTCTTTGGCGGAGACTATATTTTCACCTGGGCCAACTTCATTGGATTAAACATCAGGTAAATGAATATTCTTCATTCACCTTAATTCTGAAAGTACGGACGTTCTCTTTTCTACTTCCGACTATTTCTACTGACAGGTCTACGCCCTATTTACTGAAGTGTGCTGGGGTTTTTCCTTATGTCATTGACTGAAGAGATGCCGTGAGAGTTTAATTTGAGCATCCTTCTCTTATTGTCTCCCTAGCATTGCTGGCAGTCTGGTGTACTCCTACATCACGTTCACAGATGAACAATCAAGTAAGCAAAGTGAAAAGATTAGCCAGGAAAATGAGATTACAAATCCTACGTGCCATTGTGTGAGAGTTGGTGAAAACAAATGAGATTTTTATTGTTTTTCATTTCTAACAGATTTGTTTTATTTTCCTCTCCAAATGGTACTGTTATGTAAAGTATGTTCAATAAAAACAGCTGCTCAACTTTCCCATTGGCTGATACTTGGCATCGCAAAAAACAGGCAGTAAAAAGGACTGTGTGCTTGAAATCCTAGATTTGGTCCATAGTTAATGCTATTTTATATTATTCTTATTCTATTTATATAGCCATAGTAATATTAATATATTTTATGTTTCTACTCATTTCACTTTATGGACAATACATTTCTGAAATGTTTACTTGTCATTTCAACAGAAAAGCCTTAAATGTGGGTGCCACTGGAAGGTTGGAGCTGGAGATGGACTCTTTGTAAGACATGTACTGTATGTGAAACATTTTGAGGACTTGGGTGTTTCGATCCATGAACATTTATTTACCTTTGGCCACTATTTCAGGATTTTCTAATAATCATATCTAATAATTATACTATCATGAGACTGAATCAAGTGTTCTAGACGATTTGTGCCTAATCAAGTAAATACAGTAACTATGGCCGGAATTCAATAAAAGACACGTTGTAGCACTGTAAACATATTTTCCGCTTGAGCCAACATCTGCAGCTTTTACCATGAATGTGATCTCCACAAACATCTGGGAAATTGACTTTTAATTGTCGGTTCTGCAATGCACTTGTCGACAATGCGCCTCTGATTCTCGGCCTGTTTATTCACATTGCCATTGAATTATTTGATTATGCAATGAGCCATTTGATACTTTTGTTTATTCAAAAAAGTTTTACATGTACAAAAAAAAGTGTTATATTTTGTGAACCTAATTTCTAAGCAAAGCGCTTTACATTTTTTACTAGTATGTACAACATTGTCATCCTCGGAAATGTAAGTTGCTATGTTGGTTACATGCATATTTCAAATGTTGAAATATGGCTAGGTTTCATTTCCTGTCACACTGATGAAAAATGTATGAAAACTCCCCCACTTTTACCTTGTCCAAATCATAATTAAAATCAATTTTCCTACCCTCTAAAATCATTCGATTTTATCATTGATAAAGTGCCTAATTTGCAGTTAGGGCACAGTAAAAACATGAAATAAAACAATACAGGTCACCAGTCTGAATACATTTATTAAATATAGCCACCGTTATTCCATTCACAGCCAGTCTTGGTATACACTTCACTTTAATTCATGTTGTCATTGAGGAAAACTTACAGCACATTTGTTAAAGAAAAAAAAGAAAAATACTTGAATCAACAATTTGAGGCTAACACTTTAAACAAAAAACAGCTTTTTTTAAACCATTTGTGAATGTAGACCAAAGCAGGGGTAGCCTACAAAGTAAAATGTTGAGAACGTCAAAAAGGCTGTAACAAAATCAAGTTCTCAAAACAATGTCTTGTTATTAAGAAGCCTCCACTGGAACTAAATGGAGGTTCTTCACATTGAAGCTTACAGTCAAGGTCTTTAATTACAATTCGTAATAATAAGAGCTTGCTTAGAGGCCATCATGAAACTTTGCAGGTAATGGCAAGTGAGAAAATAAACGTTACTGGTACCCAGTCTCCAATTTCAAAAGGCGTCACTGCACCGCATCTCTCTCTTTTACATGGAGTCATTATCAAACATATTTTTGCTGCAAATACATTTCCAAATGCACTAGGTGAAAAAATGGGACTGGGAAATGCTGAGAAATAGGAATGACTACTTAGAACAGCTCTGCTCGGAGCAACAAGGAGAGGAGTCTTACGAGAAAGCTTACGAGAAAGACCATAAAATACAGACAGATTAAAAGACATGATTATCAAAAAGTGTAACAACTGTACAACATAAGAAAATCTATTCAAACTTCACACGTAAAATCACTGAAGTACTTACTGTCTAAAAACAACAGACAAACAAAACAATAGGAAAGCCTGACAATTTTTTATATATACAGCGTTCTACAGGACATCACTGATGTCAGACGCTTTACACAAACAAACCTCAGGGGACAGACACTCCCATTGGTTCATTTCTTTCAATTAAAACAACATTTCCACGGTTACGGCATATGGGGGATCATGTTTCAAATAAGCAATGATGTCATTCAGCAGTGTTGCTTTAACCACTATCAACAAAGAAAGAAAAAGGATGAAAGTGCAACTTAGTGTGACGGCAACAGCGCCAATCTGCCTGCTTATCTATCTATTGCCCTGTCGAAGACCTAGAACCCTCTACATACAACACCACCCCTTCGATTTCCTGGTTTCAAATGGCTAGGACAGCAAATACCCATCAATCATAACACATTTATTTGTAAAAAATATAAATATCTTTCACGTAAAAAAATATCACAACTGATTTTTATTCTAATACAAATCGGAAAAAAGCATTTAGCGTACAAATTCTCGAGATCGGTCTCTCCAAAAAAGGGAATGAGGAGAATAAGTAGAAGAATCAGTATGAAGTATTATGTGGTAGTAGTAATAGTAGGTAGGGGGAAGGGAGAGGTTCAGGAACTGTGGTACTTTGGATGTGTGGAGCGAGGCAGGGCTGTATGCTGTGCCCCTTTACAATCAGGCCGCTGCCCTCCCTCCGTTTGCTGGTGTAGCCCAGCCGGGTTTGGTTGGTTGGTATGGGTCGTATTCATTAGGCACAAAACGGACGAAAACAGACGGAAGGAAACAGGGATTGGACTTGTCCAATAACAAACGCTAGTTTTCGTTTTCCGTTGCTAAATGTTTTGCTTCAGTGTGCACTAATTAATACGACCATGGTTTTTTAAGGTTTGGTTCTTTGCCCTTTGCCCTCTGAGAAGGGGTCGTCATCTATCATCAGTCCTCCTGCTGGAGGGTCGTCGATGTTCTGGATGGTTCCGGCTCGCTCTGTTCCGGTGGCTCCGCCTCCATCCGGCACCTCTTGGCCGGCCTGTCATAGAGGAGCGCGTCTTCTTCATCGTAGTGACCGTCGCCACAGTGTGGCTCCAGGGAGCCGTTCCTGTTGTGGCTGGGCACGGCGGCCGCTACCTCGCAGCCGTTGGAGTCATTGTCCGAGGCGGTGGGAACAGGGAAAGCGTCCAGACAGGGGTGGTTGACAGTGGGCCCGTTGGACTGGGTGGGTTCTGCTTTGACTTCATTCGCCACCGTGGACGATTGGGAACCTTCTCCCGAGCCCGAGTTTTGACTCACTACACCTGTTGGAGGAAAGATAAGAGAGTGAGCTGCTGATGTCATGAATTATGTAGGGTCTTCACAAGAATTCACATGATATGTTCTGAGTATATTTATCCCTTCCTCTCTTACTCAATCCCTCAATGTGTGTGTTCCCTTACCGTTGTGGCTGCTGCTGCCGTCCTCCCTCTCGGAGTGGCTGGTGCTACTGTTTGAGGTGGTGGGAGGGGGCGAGGCCGCTCGGCTGGAAGTGGCACTCTCCGTCTCGTCTAGCAGCCGGTCCATGTAGTCCCTGAGACACACGGGGTAAACAACCAACCACACAGTCAGCACCAACTAGAGCCTACCAGCCTGGTCCTTATACTAATCACGCCACATTTATACCCAGCCATACTGGGCTGGCCTGGTTACGCATCCACCCTAGTTGCTGGAACAGTGCTGGATAGGACCATGTGAAAAACATCCAAGCCAGCATAGTACATATCAGCTCGGCATTATATAGTGTTAAAAGGATATTTGATTCACACCCCTAGAACACAGTGACAACAGTAGGTATGGTTCACAAAACAAAGGTGATCACACATTTTGGAATGTGTATTAGTGACATGGAATATCCATTCATGACAAGTTACATTTCATTGAATATGGGTCTTTCTCTAAACTAGGGTACCAGTGAGGATTTCACACCAACTTTTTTAGCCTGAATTTAAAATGGATTAAATAAATATTTTTTGGTCACTGGCCTACACACAATACCCCATGTCAAAGAGGAATTCTATTTTTTGAAAAATAACAAGCTGAAATGTCTTGAGTCAATAAGTATTCAACCCTTTTGTTATGGCAAGCCTAAATAAGTTCAGGAGTAAAAATGTGCTTAAAAGGTCATGTAATAAGTTGCATGGAGTCACTGTGTGCAATAACAGTGTTTAACATGATTTTTTTATGACTACCTCATCTCTGTATCCCACACATACAATTATCTGTAAGGTCCCTCAGTACAGCAGTGAATTTCAAACACAGATTCAACCACAAAGACCAGGGAGGTTTTACAATGCCTCGCTAAGAAGGGCAACTATTGGTAGATGGGTAAAGATGAAAAAAAAAAACAGACATTGAATATCGCTGTGAGCATGGTGAAGTTATTAATTACACTTTGGATGGTGTTTCAATACACCCAGTCACTACAAACTCAGTTGCCGGAGAGGAAGGAAACCCGCTCAGGGATTTCACCATGAGGCCAATGGTGACTTTAAAACAGTTAGAGTTTAATGGCTGTGATAGGAGACAACTGAGGATGGATCAACAACATTGTAGTTACTCCACAATACTAACCTAAATGACAAGAGTGAAAAGAAGGAAGCCTGTACATCCTTGAAACTGCATTTTTTCATTGTTCCCCTCTAATCAGGGACTGATTTAGACCTGGGACACCAGGTGTCTGCAATTAATTATCAGGAAACTAGCAGGCTCCAGACCACATAGGGTAAGAGTTGAATACCCCTGCTGTACAGAATACAAATATTCCAAACCATGCACCCTGTTCGCAACAAGGCACTAAAGTAATCCTGCAAAAAATTTGGCTAAGCATTTCACTTTTTGTCCTGAATACAAAGTGTTATGTTTGGGGCAAATCCAACAACACACATTACTGAGTACCACTCTCCATATTTTCAAGCATAGTGGTGGCTGCATCATGTTATGGTTATGCTTGTAATCATTAAGGACTGGGGAGTTTTTCAGGATAAAAAAAAGAAACGGAATGGAGCTAAGCACAGGCAAAATCCTAGAGGAAAACCTGGTTCAGTCTGCTTTCCACCAGACACTGGGAGATGAATTCACCTTTCAGCAGGACAATAACCTAAAACACAAGGCCAAATCTACACTGGAGTTGCTTACCAAGAAGACAGTGAATGTTCCTGAGTGACCAAGTTACAGTTTTGACTTAAGTCTACTTGAAAATCTATGGCAAGACCTGAAAATTGTAGTCTAGCAATGATCAACAACCAATTTGAAAAGAATAATGGACAAATGTTGCACAATCCAGGTGTGGAAAGCTCTTAGAGACTTACCCAGAAAGACTCACAATTGTAATTGCAGCCAAAGGTGCTTCTACTAAGTATTGACTCAGGGGTGTGAATACTTATGTAAATGAGATATCTGTATTTCATTTTCAATACATTTGCAAATATTTCTAAAAACACGTTTTCACTTTGTCATTATGGGGTACTTTGTGTAGATGGGTGAGAAAATCAATTTAATCCATTTTGAGTTCAGGCTGTAACAACAACAGGCACTGTAAGGGGGGAACATATCTATTTTAAATACTATTCAACAAATTGATTTAAAACTTATGTTTAACTCTTTCTCATAGTTGGTGTCTTGACGGATTTGTCCAAAATCATGTGACAAAACAGTTTTCTGTCCTTGCATTTATGGCAGTGTAAGTTGTCGTTATATCATATATTAAGCATTAATCGGTTAAATTAGACATTGAACTTGAACCCTGTAAGAATCCTGGATCTAGCTGTCGGACAGTTTTTTGTATAGAGATCTCAGAAATCCAGTGTAACTACGTAACATTTCATGTCTCCTCATGTTACGGGGTGAAAATAGTTTATCGGTACACAAATCCCCCAAAATGTACGAGATTGCAAAATGGAATGCTTTTAACCGAAAGAGTCACCTAAAACCTAAATCGATACGGTTATTAACGTGGTTCTTCAATAATTATGCATAATAATTGTTGGATGCGCATTTGGTGTCGAGCTGGTAATTTTTTTTTTACATCATCTGATTCAGGAAGGAATTTTCTGAATGACAGTCAAGTGACGAACAGCTGTTGTGATAGCACACGCGATGCAACAACACAGCCCAAGTGCTGGAAAAAAGGTGTTCGCAAGGAATATCAAGAATATTTGTCTCATTTGTTACGCCGGTGATGACAGCTGTGCCTGGATCCACGTTGGATCTAATATCCCTAGCGAATTGATGTTCATCATCTGTTGTTGTCTGCTTGATCTACAGCCGGGTCTCGTTGGATTGAACAGAGAAAGCATCAAGGTAATGAGGTCATGTTTTCCCTTTTTTTTTTTTGTGCCTCGGATTAGACACCGAGTCTACTGTGCGCAATTGTGTAAAATAGACTATTGCACAACACCCAACGCTATTCCTATGAATTATTCTGGATATAATGACAAATTACATAGCCTAGCAGTGGACTTCTTCACAATATGATCTGGTACTTAAATAACATGACAAATACATTTTCGATTCCATGTTACACCTGCAATTTTAAACAATACAAGTGGCTTGAGTAGCCTACTTGAACTCATAAATTCAAGTACTGGAATAGGCCTACCTTGACAATCTGATATTTCCTCAATTTGGTGCCTCTATTAGGCAATATATGTACAATTGTATAAAATTGAGGTCCTTGAAAATTACAATGAAGTGCTTGAAAAAGTCCTTGAATGTGACTTGCCAATGTCTGTATGAACCCTTCTTAAAGGATGTATAGTCCTAGGCCTATGTTGTTGTATAGGTGGAGTTATGGTACAATTTTCATATATTCCTCTAAGTACACTGCATAATTTTTTTTACATTTTTTATTTCAAACCATTTTAAAATGTTGATCCTAATGTCACACATTGGCCCCATTATTTATAGAAAAAACCCATATACTATTTTCCGTTATACATGTTTAAAATACATCTCAAATCAGGTAAGTACAAATCTATAATATATTGAACTGTATAACAACACATTTGTCGACGTATTCAAATATTCAAAAGATTTGTGAAAGCATGGTCTGGTGAAAAGACTTACGTGACACCGGGGTGAAGGTTGTATTTCCTTTTCCCCAGCCTGGTTTGCTGTGCAAAGAAATCATAACGCTCAGACTTCTTCCACATGTAATAAAAGGCCACACATTCTCCTACTGACCTAGTTCTCACCTGAAAAATGTAATATCAGCAGACAACGAGATAGCCATTATTACCATTGCCTTCCAGAGTTGGACTCAATTCAATTTCAACCCCCCAATCAAGACGGATGAGTCGAAATGCAATTTGTGAATTGAAAAAAAAAAAACGAATTATGCAAAAGTTGGAGTAGCTTTTCAATTCATGAACTGATTTTCGATTCCTCACGAAAGTTGAAGGAGGTTCAAATGGAATTGACCCCAACCCTGATTGCTTTAAAACACATCACATGCAACTCTCAAATCAACATGAAGATGAGCAATATTCTTAATGTCAATATACTTTTCAATCAAATACTGTATCAAATATAATAGGATCTCTCTTAAGATAATAAACATAGCTTACCTTGTTGGCTTGTATTGAATTAAAGTCTTTCCCATAAGCTTTTAGTCCTTGCTCAAAATATCGACATTCTTCTTCTGTCCACACAGACAGCTCTTCTGTGACAGAAGGGAAAGGGTTGAGTATCATGACAACTGCTGCATTCAAATAAAATATCATAAAAACTATGAAAATGTGACAGGTCCCAGGCGTGGGACGCTATGAACAAGACACAAACAAAAGCCAGGACCCAAGTAACCCCTTTATCATCAAAATACCTCAATAAGACATACATGCCTGGTGAGATAATGACGAGAAAATATGCCAGCTATTTGAGTGAAATCTAGAGAAAGTTAAAACCATTTCACTGCAGGTCTTACCTCTAGCTGCCTTCACATTAAACTTCAGTCTTCTTAAAGCTTCCTCTGTGTCAAATTCACACTTGACCAACTCATAAAGCGCCTGTGGAAAGACAACATTGAGGTTGTAAAGAAGACGGTTACAGACGAAAGTGCATACTAGTCTTTTATGATCGTATTCAGTAGGTGGCATAAAGTTTAGGAACAGTGAAATGTGAACTCTTAAACTTTTCCAATAAACACAGTTTTCTGTTGTGAAACGTTTTTCTACGGTGTGCCCTACTGAACACAACCCTGGATGCCAGTCGGCTCGACTGTGGGGGTCTTCATACCTGCTCATTGTCTTTGACATGGGATCCCTCAGGGATGGCATCCACTCCCTTCTCCTCTCCTGTTCGTTTTGACGCCTCCGTCAAAAACTCCACAACCTTGCACTCGGGAAGGAACTCAGGGTCCCATAAAAGCTGGTCATCATTTTCATATGCTGGAACGAGTGAACGAAAGAGAGATAGAGAGGGGGAGAAAGAGAGAGAAGGAAAAAACTCATTTTATTTCCTATTTACCTCTGTGATTGGAAGATATTTCACTTGAACTTAATTAGTGCATTGCAATTGCAAACAGAACACCTTACCTTTCTCATTGTCATTATATTTACAAAGGCCAGAGGGCGTTTCAGCCTGATACATGGAACCAACCATGATTTCCTGTCCAGGTCAAACACAAACATTGTTTAGTTTCCCAAATCAAAAGTGTGCTTCAAATGAATAACATGTCTCTTTAAAAGGTTAGAACTACCATATCTAACGAATGATTAAACAATAATAAAAACCAATATATTGACCTTTTTCCAATCATCAGAAGGGACATAATCTTCGTCTTCTGACTCTTCCTCTGCATCATTACCTGAAACAAGATTTGGCATTTTGACTCTTTTCACTAGCTAGGTTTCCATCCAAATTGGCGACAGAATTTCATGTGAATATTCTATAATGCGAATAAACATGTGCCTTTTCCCACCAGAGATGTATCTCCATCAAATGTATTTGTTGCAGATAGAATTATGTTCATGATGATGTAGTGCACATCATTAAAAATACAAGTTAAATGGGTTTCCATCTTATTTTCAACTCTGCTGATGGTTTTGTCACAAAAAATGTTGCATTATATAGCAAATGTGCCAACTCTGGTCTTGGCACGTGTGCTCTAGCCAACAGCTTGCAATTACAGTGTGGATACAGCCTACCTTATTATGGCCAAAAGAGCGAGATTTGTATTTGTCAAACGGCAGCCAAGCATCAATCATCATTTCACCAGAATAAGACCCTCAATATTTATTGGAAAGGCGCATCAAGCTCATCACCTTGCACTTTTACCACCCAGTGAAGTTCATCATAACTTATTTCAACTGTAGCCTAATAAACTCCATGCTTTCCCGAGTCGTAGTGAGAGGACCACACAACATATCATTGCGTGACTCCAAGTTTACTTTCGATACGATGGTTATTATATCAATATTTGTGCATGAAGGCGTTTCCACCTAAATTTGTGTTTAAATTTAACTGACACAAAAAGATCCCACCTTGACTAGCGTATTTTGTTTTGTCAACATTTGGAAAGTTTCGCGACAAATGTGCAGTTTCCATCAGGCCAGTGGTGACTTTTTATCCAAATGTACTTTATTCGCATAAAAAGGTTGGATGGAAGCCTGGTTACTGACACATATTAGTTCTCATTTTGAACCACTGGGTTAAAATGCATATAACAAGATCTCACACACTATCCAATATTTAAAAAAACACGACTCGGTGAGGGAAGCAAAGATGCATACTTTCGAAGTACTTGCGCTTCTGTGATCCACGTATCAGCTCTGCCGTGCAGTGGGATTTGACGGAGCGCGTGCGACCCTCGCTGGACGACTGGTTCTCGTTCCCCAGTCCTGACGAGATCTTCACCCTCTCGGTCTGAACACACACACACACACACACACAACCCAAGGTGTTACACACAGATTAGTCCCCAATGGTGCATTAGTCAAAAAAGCCCCTGTGAAACAACAAAATTGCCATTCATTCATGAAAACAGTGGAATCAGCATCAAAGCTGCCTAGATGTATCTATTATATAATAATATGCCATTTAGCAGTCATGCATGCATTCATTTCAAATACTACTATCAGCAGATTTGTAACTATTTGACTGATTTCCCTGTAAATCAGTCAAATCTTTTAAATTGTTGCATGTTGCGTTTATATTTTTTTTGTATTCTGTAATTACACTGAACAAAAATATAAACGCAACATGCAACAATTTAAAAGATTTGACTGACTTACAGTTCATATCAGGAAATCAGTCAATTGAAATAAATGCATTAGTCCCTAATCTATGGATTTCACAACTGGGAATACAGATATGCATCTGTTGGTCACAGATACCTTAAAAAAAGTTAGGGGTGTGGATCAGAAAACCAGTTAGTATCTGGTGTGCTGCATATTTGCCTCATGCAGCATGACAAATCTCCTTTGCATAGAGTTGATCAGGCTGTTGATTGTGGCCTGTGGACTGTTGTCTCACTCCTCTTCAATGGCTGTGCGAAGTTGCTGGATATTGGCGGGAACAGGAACACGGTGTCCTATACGTCAATCCAGAGCATCCCAAACATGCTTAATGGGTGACATGTCTGGTGAGTATGCAGGCCATGGAAGAACTGGGCCATTTTCAGCTTCCAGGAATTGTGTACAGATCCTTGCGACATGGGGCTGTGCATTATCACGCTGAAACATGAGGTGGTGGCGGCGGATGAATGGCACAACAATGGGCCTCAGAATCTCGTCCCGGTATCTCTGTGCATTCAAATTTCCATCGATAAAATGCAATTGTGTTTGTTGTCCGTAGCTTTTGCCTGCCCATACCATAACCCCGCCGCCACCACGAGGCTCTCTGTTCACAACGTTGACTGCTTGCCCACACGACACCATAAATGTGGTCTGCGGTTGTGAGGCCGGTTGGACGTACTGCCAAATTCTCTAAAACGACGTTGCAGGCGGCTTATGGTAGAGAAATGAACATAGAATTATCTGGCAACAGCTCTGGTGGACATTCCTGCAGTCAGCATGCCAATTGCACGCGCCCTCAAAACTTGAGACATCTGTGGCCTTGTGTTGTGTGACAAAACTCCACATTTCAATGTGGCCTTTTATTTTCTGGAGCACAAGGTGCACCTGTGTAATTATCATGCTGTTTAATCAGCTTCTTGATATGCCACACCTGTCAGGTCGATGGATTATCTTGGCAAAGGAGAAATGTTCATTAACAAAGACGTAACCAAAGTTGTGCATCAAATTAGAGAGAAATACACTTTTTGTGCATTTGGATTTCTGGGATCTTTTATTTCAGCTCATGAAACATGGGACCAACACTTTACATGTTGCGTTTATATTTTTGTTCAGTGTATTATACATTTCTGACTAAATATGTCAACTTTGTTGGCTACAGAATATGTAGTGGTGATTTATAACAATCAAATTAGTGCAATAAGGTGCAAACAAGCATTCCTTCTTTATGAGTGTGTTGATTGATATCCCTGTTATTTCAGGAGAGTCATGGCGCCCACCTTATTCCTCTTCAGCTCGCCAGTGCTTCTGCTGCTTTCATCATTGTCCAGCTCCTCTTCCTCCTCCTCTTCCTCATCCTCCAACTCTTCATCCTCTAGGTCTTCCTCGTCTTCTTCTTCCTCTCCATCTGCAGGCGAACCACCGCCGTATCCGTACATACTCAACAACTCATGAATGGGCATCTCTCCCTCCTATGGCACAAATGGAACAACAACAATAACTTTTGTTGCACACTGGATTACACTTAAAACAGACTAGCTAGCTTCACATTATCAATATCTGAATGTTGCCTTTACAATAATAGGGGTCAAATACTCAATATCTATAACTAAAAGGTTACTGTTCCCAGGGTCGTATTCATTAGAGCATTCACTGTAGCAAAACGTTCTGCAACGTTTAAAACAAGTGTTTCTTATTGGACAAGATCGAGTAGTCCCTCCCTGTTTCAGTCTTTCTTCTTCCGATCAGTGCCTAATGAATAGGATCCTGGATAACTTTCAATCCACAAGAAGAAATGATGTTGAGACGCACCCGTGCAAGGTCGTCAATCTCATTGCTGAAGTTGGTCTCTCCCTCGAGCATCTCCTCCTCTTCCAGTGTGCGTTCGTCGTCAAAGTCGTGGACGAGCATATCTGCTGAAGGATCAAACTCATGGTCGTCTGCTGAACCTCCTAAGGAAAAACACAACGGGAAACATTGAGGAGATACTCAATAAAGTGGTATTTCATTTATAACAAACAATATTATGACATAAGCTAGGTTTCCATCCAATTGGTGACAGATTTTCAGGCGAATATTCGAAAAGCAGCATAAAGAAAATATGCAAATTTTCCCACCAGTGGTGCGTTTCCACCAAATTGATTTGTTGTGTAAAAAAATCTAAAGTTCAATGTGTTTCCATCGCATTTTCAACTCTACCAATAGTTTAGTCACCAAAACTGTTGCATTAAATAGCAAAATGTGCCTACTCTGGTCTTGGCATGTGTGCTCTAGCCAACAGCTCACAGATACAGTGCGGGTAGGCTGTGCGGGTAGGGTAGTCTACACAATGAGATTATTATAGAATATTTTTAATTGTCAAACGGCAGTCAAGCATCGATCATCATGTCACCAGAATAAGACCATCGATATTTATTGGAAAGGAGCATCAAGCTCATCGGCGTGCACTTTCACCACCCTGTGAAGTTCATCATAACTTACAGTGCATTCGGAAAGTATTCAGACCCCTTCCCCTTTTCCACATTTTGTTACGTTACAGCCTTATTCTAAAATTGAATAAATAAAAATGTTCCTCATCAATCTACACACAATACCCCATAATGACAAAGCGAAAACAGTTTTTTATTTTATATTTTAGCAAATGTATAGAACAAAAAAATATATAATAATAATAATAATATGCCATTTAGCAGAGGCTTTTATCCAAAGCGACTTACAGTCGTGCGTGCATACATTTTTGTGTATGGGTGGTCCCGGGGATCGAACCCACTACCTTGGCGTTACAAGCGCCGTGCTCTACCAGCTGAGCTACAGAGGACCACATGTGTGTAGACACCTAAGTATTCAGACCCTTTGCTATGAGACTCGAAATTGAGCTCAGGTGCATCCTGTTTCCATTGATCATCCTTGAGATGGTTCTACAACTTGGAGTCCACCTGTGGTAAATTAAATTGATTGGACATGATTTGGAAAGGCATACACCTGTCTATATAAAGGTCCCAGAGTTCACAGTGCATGTCAGAGCAAAAACCAAGCCATGAGGTAGAAGGAATTGTCCGTAGAGCTCCAGGACAGGACTGTGTCGAGGCACAGATCTGGGGAAGGGTACCCAAAAATGTCTGCAGCATTGAAGGTCCCCAAGAACACAGTGGCCTCCATCATTCTTAAATGGAAGAAGTTTGGAACCACCAAGACTCTTCCTACAGCTGGCCGCCCGGCCAAATTGAGCAATCGGGGGAGAAGGGCCTTGGTCAGTGACCAAGAACCCGATGGTCACTCTGACAGAGCTCCAGAGTTCCTCCATGGAGATGGGAGAAACTTCCAGAAGGACAACCATCTCTGCAGCACTCCATCAATCAGGCCTTTATGGTAGAGTGGCCAGACGGAAGCCACTCCTCAGTAAAAGGCACATGACAGCCCGCTTGGAGTTGCCAAAAGGCACCTAAAGGACTTTCAGACCATGAGAAACAAGATTCTCTGGTCTGATGAAACCAAGATTGAACTCTTTGGCCTGAATGCCAAGCGTCCCATCTGGAGGAAACCTGGCACCATCCCTATGGTGAAGTCTGGTGGTGGCAGCATCATGATGTGGGGATGTTGTTCAGTGGCAGGGACTGGGAGACTAGTCAGGATCGAGGGAAAGATGAACGAAGTACAGAGAGATACTTGATGAAAACCTGCTCCAGAGCGCTCAGGACCTCAGACTGGGGCGAAGGTTCACTTTCCAACAGGACAACGACCTTAAGCACACACCAAAGACAACGCAGGTGTGGCTTCGGGACAAGTCTCTGAATGTCCTTGAGTGGCCCAGCCAGAGCCCGGACTTGAACCCGATCGAACATCTCTGGAGAGACCTGAAAATAGCTGTGCAGCAACGCTACTCATCCAACCTGACAGAGCTTGAGAGGATCTGCAGAGAAGAACGGGAGAAACTCCCCAAATACAGGTGTGCCAAGCTTTTAGCGTCATACCCAAGAAGACTCAAGGCTGTAATCTCTGCCAAAGGTGCTTCAACAAAGTACTGAGTAAAGGGTCTGAATACTTATGTAAATGCAATATCCGTTTTTTATTTTTAGTAAATTTGCACACATTTCTAAAAACCTGTTTTTGCTTTGTCATTATGGGTTATTGTGTGTAGATAGATGAGGAAAAAAACGACTTAATCAATTTTAGAATAAGGCTGTAACGTAACAAAATGTGGAAAAGGTCAAGGGGTCTGAATACTTTCCAAATGCATTGTATTTCAACTGTAGCCTAATAAACTGTGTTTGCTTTCCCGAGTCGTAGTGGGAGGACCACACACCAAGTTTCCACCACCATTTCTTGCATAATACATTTTACTGACACAAAAAGATCCCACCATGTCGAACGAACAAATTATTTGTCGGCATTTATAAAAATGGTACCGAAACTTCCTGGTTTTATCAGGCCTTCCTTCCAGCATTGGGGAACATCTCGCACCACCCCCGTGCGCCACATCTATTTCTATGGGCACAAGCACTGTTCATGACACAAACCGCTGGGCTCTCCAGAGGGTGGGGTTGTCTGCCCATAGCATCACCAGGGGCACACTGCCTGCCCTCCAGGACACCTACAGCACCCGATGTCACAGGAAGGCCAAAAATATAATCAAGGACATCAACCACCCGAGCCACGGCCTGTTCACCCACCTATCATCCAGAGGCGAGGTCAGTACAGGTGCATCAAAGCTGGGACCGAGAGACTGAAAAACAGCTTCTATCTCAAGGCCATCAGACTGTTACATAGCCATCACTAGCCAACTACCACCCGGTTACTCAACCCTGCACACTAGCCGGCTACCACCCGGTTACTCAACCCTGCACCTTAGAGGCTGCTGCCCTATGTACATAGACATGGAATCACTGGTCACTTTAATAATGGAACACTAGTAATAATGTTTACATACTGCTTTACTCATTTCACATGTATATACTGTATTCTAGTCAATGCCACTCCGACATTGCTTGTCCTAATATTTGTATATTTCTTAATTCAATTATTTTACTTTTAGATTTGTGTGTATTGTTGTGATACTACTGCACTGTTGGGGCTAGAAAAAACACAAGAATTTCGCTACACCCTCAATAACATCTGCTAAAAATGTGTATGTGACCAAGAACATTTGATTTGAAACTGTTCCCACCCCTCTTGTTGGCGAGCCCCACCGTTTGGGAACCACTGATCCATCGCAGCTGTCATTATTATTTTTTTTATATGGTATTACTTTACTCGCATAAAAACAGTGGATCGAAACATGGTTAGTGTGGTGTGTTCAGCCCAATTTTACTTCGCATTTGTCAATGATTTAATGAGGGATTAAAATTACACATATCAATGAGCATAAACCTTTCTCTCAGTTGTAACAACAATATTTACCTGGGCTCGTACTCCCAACGGAGGGCTAAAACACAAAACAAAATACTCAAGATTAGTCACAACCAGATAGATACACAAGTACGGTTGATGACAATACATGTAGCTGTAACTTTGCTATAACTTGACGGTTCAGAGATACTGTCAGTGAATTATTATGCTTTCTGGATGAGGCCAATATAGACAAACTAGGCCTGAACAAAAACATAAATAGGAACTACCTACAATGCAGCAAACTGATCATCAGTCTGGGTAGTGGATGGAAGTGGAAGTCAAACTAAAAGCGCGCCTGAAACTTATGCCTGACTCCTTGTTGGCTAACGCGAAGGTAAAAATAGACATTACTGTAGCTAACGTTAGCTGGTTCTAGCAAGGAGAGAATTCTGATCAGGCCATAATTGAAATAAGTCAATCATCAATTTCAGGAGAGCGCTAAAGTAGTTATTGATAAACAAATGGGTTGTTCTCACAATCTAGACACTTAGCTGTGAATGATTAGCTATCTAGCTATTTGCTAGCCCCTGCCTCAGCTAACTTTAGCTAGCTAAATTAGTTATTCACATAGTTAGCCAACTAGGTTCGCTTTCAATATGCAGAATACCACCAGGTCCCAGAAAATGGAACAGTACTGTAAAATATTCAATTGTATCTTTTCGAGTGGGTAACGTTAACGCTAGTAGTCCGCCAACCTTTCCCAACCGTAGCTAGCTACTAGCGAGCTTAGCATAGCTACGAAGCTAGCCACCATTGCTAAACTGAAGTTTGAAAAATACAATTTATGGAAACGCGACAAGTGTAATATTTATCTCTTCTCCGTATTTTAGGACATATTTTTTTTATTCTCATTTGGGACCTGTGCACCCGACAGAATCAACTCTTTAAACCTAAAAACATTTTTATTCTCCCGAATATTTATTGGAGTTTCCTTCCTACCTCCGCCATGTTTGAAATCCTGTGGGGTCAGCAATTTCCCGGATTGACTTGCCCCGCCCATACAATTCTTGTCCCATACAATTCGATCATGGCTAGAAAGGGTACAGCTTTTGTCAAATTTACGACAAAAGTTAATTTTTGGGGCATTTTAGTTCACCCTAAACCTCTTCCTAACCTAACATAGTTATTATAACCTGCTTCGTTAATTATCCTAACCTGCTGCGTAGGTTCTCCTATCTAGTCAAAACCCTACAACTCTGAGGGCTACATCAGAGAGGAAAAGGACAAGAGAAGCCAACTTGGAGGAAGATCTGTCTCCCTCCAGCTGGTGGCGTTGTTTCGTCCACCAATCAAGTCGTTTTTGTATGGAGGTCAATGAGAGTGTCGAATTTGGTCAACAAAAAAATGAAAGGTTGGGCCTCCCGAGTGGCGCAGTGGTCTAAGACACTGCATCGCAGTACTAGCTGTGCAACTAGAGATTCTGGTTAGATCCATGGGGCGGGGCACAATTGGCCCAGCGTCGTCCAGGTTAGGGGAGGGTTTGGCCGGTAGGGGTATTCTTGTCCCATCGCGCACTAGCGACTCCTGTGGCGGGCGGGCCGGGCGTAGTGCACGCTGACACG